TAAAGATACCAAATGAGGGTGCTGTTTAGCAGATAGTTCCCTTATTTGGTGTCCTTAAATATTGCAAGCCCACATAAGGATAGCAAATAGGGGAGTTATCTGCTAAACAAAGATCGAAGTTAAGAGGTGTCAGCCAGCCCACAACAAGAAATCTGGGTGGCTAATGTGAATTATATGCAAATGTGTTGTCAGATGCCAGCATGCAGAGCACAGTGTTTCTGCGTGTGTGTATATGTATCTGCATGTGTGTATGTCCGTGTATGTGTATATGTGCAGACATCTCAAAATCTCGCCAACACTACACACAAATACACTCATGCATTTCAACGTCAACACTACATACAAACCCCACCATTATATATAACCACATCACTGCATTAAAATACCACACAACACACAAATGCATGCTTGCATTCAAAAACCAACACTACATACAAACACACCACTACATTCACTCACACATACTCCATACAAAAACATGCATACATTCACACACAAACACTGCTCAGTGCTAAATACATTAAAAAATTGGGTTGTTTTTACATTTAAAGTTGGTGCCAAATGCTCTAGGTACGCCCCTCCATGCACACACTGTCCAGGAGCACACAGCGTGAACCCTGGCCATGCATGCACAGTATACCTTACTAATACTATTTTAACCATTGCTGCATTTGAGAGCAACAAAACACAGCTTTCAGAAGCAGGATTTAAAGAAAGCACATACATATACAGTAAACACTACATACTTTAAATAACACAAGGAGACCCACAGCGAGGCCCAAAACAAACAAAAGGAAGAACTACTTAAGCTAGCGAGGCCAGGCACACGGCTCCCAGTCTCTTTCTGCAGGTTGAAGGTATGAACGGATGCTGGACTATAGTTACACAAGCCCATAGCTCAACAGAGACCAGGATTGGCTAATATTGCTGCTTATTGGGGAGAGACGTTTGCTGGCTCCATTACACTTTTATCAACCCGGACATTCTTGACTTTTTAGTTTGTATTCTTACTTTTTTGTTCCCTCTGTGTTATTTTTACATATAAAAGTGTTCTTCAAGGTATATTACAGGCTTTGGGCTCTGATAGATCTGAGTCCAAGTAGGAATTGATTATTTGTAATAATACCAATAATTGATGTAATAATACCTTTCCTTTGACGTTGGTTCTATTTAGTGCTCCGTTATATCATCACTGGTAGAACAGATAGTTAACATACCATTATTTTTATTGTTCATGATACCACCCTTTTAATGTCAGGGTTTCTGGAAATACAGGATAAACGCCAGGGTAAAAATGGAAGATTAAGAGACAGTAAGTAATTTAACTCCCTTCCTGGTCAGATACAGATACCCACACACAGACTTTACGTTTGGTAAATTGCAACACGCGAGAGCATATTCAACACAGAATTAGCCTATATATACAAACGTCACAAACTATAATCCCAAAATGTGACCAGATTTAGAGCATGCACCACTCCCTAATAAGAAAGATATTTTCATTAATTTTCAAATGATTGAGTTGAATAAAAATACAGAGTACACTAATTCATTGCTCGCCTGTTTGGGGGTTGGAGCGGGAGGGGGTGGAGCCCGATCCAGGACTAATCAATTTTGCCAGATACTTGATCAATCTTAAATAAAAGAAATTTGTCTGGGGTTCCTTTCTTTTATCTGCCGTTTATGCTTTACCAAACACAAAAAAATGGCAGGTAATAAAAGATTAAATTTAAATAAATAAATAAAACACAGAGGATTCCTGATAAATGTCAACATTTCAAAATGTTTAACAAAAAAAGTATTGCTGCAATAAATCACAGGAAATAGGACACACAAATACATAGTTGTGCAAAGCAGTAATTTATCCAATAATACATTTAGTTACGGTTACTATACTTGTCAAAAACAAAACGTTAGCTTTTATCATAATAGGTGAAAACATGAATTTTCTTTTGTTAATACAATAAATAATTTTTATGTTTTTTTTCATTAGATGAATCACAATATTTAAAACGAGGCACAGGGTTCTAGTTATAAATAATAGTGTTATATTTTCTGATGTATGGATGTACAGTCACACCACGAATAAGGAAAATGAGCTAGAATTATATTTACAAAGAGAATTGCAACATAAAACTTAAAAAAAAAATCGATTTGAATGCTATAAAAACAGGTATTTTGGGGATTTAAAGTACTGAACAAGGTTTTTTCCTTAGTCTGAAAAAAAGGAGTACAAATCAAGAACGTAAACTGAAATGTAATGTTTGAAACAGCAATGTTGGTCAGTGAAACAGAAAACCTTGTTTGTTTCTACATGATAATCATAGCAGTGCAGGAACAAACTTACTGTCCCCTTCGCAGTGAGATGAACCAATGGAGTAATACGCAAGAGTTATGCAGAATATTAACACCTTGATTATGGATTGCTTTTCCATTTAAAAAAAAACAAAAAACAAGTGCAATATTCATTTCAATCTTGGAATTAATCACTCGCACCAGAACTGAAAAAACTGGATCCTTCGCACTCTATATATTTTCCATCTTTTCCACATTCTGATCTAACTTTACCATTCCTTCCCCACTATATCTCTTGCCTACACACTCCTTCACCTTAAAAAATGGACATTGTTCGACCCCGCTTTAATGCACCCTATGGCACAATGCAACACGGACTATAGATGCTGTCGGGGGAAGTACTGGGTAGGGCAATCACCGCAGTGGATACCTAGCAGCCTGGGGGATGTGTAAGCTGACAACAGCGGCCAAGTTGGGTGGAGGGAAGGTGGGCCGAAAGGCAGGGAATAACCCGTCCCCAACCTAGAACACTCAGCTAACACGGGCGGGGGAAGGAAGGGGCGACAGCTTACTCAACTAGACGGCCCCTAAACAGCAAGACTACAGGTATCAGACTCCCAAAAGATACGAATGTAAGGACAGATCACCGGGGCACAGACAATACCACGCACTGCACACACTTCAACATAGGGATCCAAGCTCATAGGACTCCCATAGTGAGCATATAACAGTCCTACCCCAAGCCAACCACACACATTCCAAGGCAGACGAAACTATACCCTAGCTTCCGGCTAGACAGCAATGACAATGCAATGTATCATATATATGATGTGATCACGAATGTCCTTGACTGATGTATCGTTCATGTAACATTGCAAACTACTGTACCAAATGTGGAAGTAGTGGAAACCTGCGAGTCTACCAGCTAGACTTCCTATTGTACCATTCTCTATTTATGAACAAAATAAAAAACTACATTTCCTTAAAATGACTGTAAACGTTGTTAAAATGTTTTTATTTTTTTTTAACAATGTATTGTTTTTTTCCATTGCAAAAATATCAAGGGAAAGAAATGCTCTAGAAATACAGTGCAGCTTATCGCTCAGTGCAGACTAATTCTGAAATATCATAAGGATAACATATTGCTGTCACATACAATAGGTGTGATTATAAACAAAATAGCCTTAACCAGCTACTAAATATACAATGAGTGCAATCAGAGTTCTCATCACTCCCTGGCTGCCAAAATATAACTCTGTATATATGGAGCCTTTTGAGCTCCTGTACAGTTGTGGGGGCAGGGGGGCTTGTTTCTTTCCCTAACACAGAAGGGGTGAATGAGGTCCTGGCAGGGAACCCATTTCTTTGTCAAGTGAAAACTATCCTTTTAGTAAAGGGGAAGATAAGTGGTGATCTGTGTATTTACGAGTTTGAAAAAGAAAACAAAAACTGCCTCTTTATGCTAGCATTTTATCCTGAACGCAATGTTGGAAATGTAATATCTCTTGCTCCTTAAATCTCACCATCTTTGCACCTACAAACAATTACCATTAGATCCCTTTTAGTAAGCAATACAGGTCTTCACCATCACATCCATAACCACTAGAGCCTATTGAATGGATTCATTTGGCGGCAGCGGTGGTAGGCAGTGAGCGCGAGTCTAAGCCATACACCTATATATCACCAAGCCAGAATGGTGTATTAAAAAATGTCACGGTATGGCCATGATCAGCTATGTCATATACGATAGCAAACACATACTCCATAGTTAAAAATATGTTATTATGTTATTGTAGAAATCATTGAAAGTAGAATTGTCATGTCTGGGGTTTTTGCATTTAGTGACAAGTCCTCTTACATGCTAGAACTTGTGGGTAGGTAGATAAACTTACCTGAACCTCTCCCTTGTGAGCCCTTCCATCTCCTTGGAGTAAGAGTCTGGATAAAATCCTTCTTGATGCCATGGTTGCCTATTGTGCATAGTGCATGACTGCTGACCCAACAGTCTAAACCAACAACCCGTTGCCCCCCAATAATACACGTGACACCTCATTCTTGTGGATAAGGGCAACGGCCACAGCTTTATTTAAATTAACAATTTAACTCAGTCCTAATCTGCCAGCTGTTGGGTGTTTGCCCAACAAGCAGTTCTCACACACATTCGGTGCCATGAGCCTCGACAGCCAGCTCCTCGCCATCAGCTGTCGTCTCCCTAATGTTCCTTTCTTCCTCTGCGCTGTCCAGGGAAACCGCCAAGCTGTGACAACACAAAAACAACAACACAAGACACAAGCCACAACACCAGAAACAGGGCGGGAGGGTGGGAAAACAGTCAGGAGCCCTCAACTGATCCTGCCGACTGGTAAGTCCCCTCCCTTTCCCTTCCTTAAGAACCCCCAACATTGGCAACATTGTATCTTCCATGATCCATCCCACAATCTTGGGAAGCAGTCATGTTCCCCCTTCCTTATTGTTCCAGGGGAATCTAGAAGTTCCACTCACACTGTGGTATACACTGGTAGAATCTCGAGGCTCTGACCCATGACGCCATTGGTCTCCTTGCCCATTATACAAAGTGGCCCCTTCTTTGTCTTAGGATATCTTCTGATCGTTTCAGTTTTATAAATTTTTTATTTATCTTCATAAAAATGGCAAAAAACAGGATTTTATTATTTATTTATTTATTTTTGAGTTTTTCATTTTTCCCATAATACTCTACTGCACAGGGTCCCCGCCACATTGTTTTAGATGATCAATTATATAGACTGGTGTTTTCCTTTGTTGCAAAATTTGTGTTAATATTCTATTAAACAGTAATGGCGATAATCTACAGAAAGAATATGGCTGTGCACAATTTGAGACGCAGATCAGGAAAACAATTAACAGGTAAGTAAACCTAATTCACAAATACCCCTATAGGATATATATTACCTATGCGGCATTACAATACGATTAGAATTTAAAGAGGCTTCAACTTGCTCTTTAACACTTTGAATAGTCAATCAATCATTTATAGCGTGTCAAAGCAAGGATTACTTTCTATTCTGGTCTATAGATTTATAATATAAATTACTTGTAATGATTAAAGCAATAGTTTCAGTAATACATGCGTAAAAACAAAACAAAGAATAAAACCAGCACCAGACTCGATAGTATCTGCTACTAGAAAATGCTAAAACGAAAAGACGTGCCCCCACATTTAGTTCTTTCCTTCCCATTCAGGACAAGAAATATTTAAATGTAATTGTCGTAGATTATACTAAATGATTTTAGCTGCAGATTTGTCTGAGATCGTATTGCTAAGATCAGAAACCTGCAGCAAATTGAAAGTAGAAGGAAGGGTTTTTGCTCAACGTGTGAAGCCTTTTGAAATTTAAATTGTAAATCCCATTTAACTAAATTGTAAGTACTGTGTCCTTCTCTGTGCCTCTTTTCACTGAATTTAATCCCTGATTTTTTTATTGCGCCTGTGGGAAAAAGAAGAAAAATCGCATCCTATATTTTGAATTGCTTTACATGCCACAAATTCAACGTCTGCATAAAAAAGATAATTGCCGCTCTATTGTCTGCTGCAAGTTACTGTAAAATACTTTCAGCTGCCACACTGTTTAAATCAGCACGGAACACATTTACTGTAACGAGAAGGAGGTAAATTATGGTAATGACTTGGACTGCTTAACTAATTAGCATTTATTGGCTGAATTATGAAAGTGTGTGTGTTTAGAAGCTAAATTACCAATAGCTGCTCTTTTGTACAATTCGCACAGAACGACTGGCACAAAAACAAGTTTTTCTATGTAGAAAGAGGTGAAATTATGCTATAAAATAATTTGCTTTACTAGAAAATCCATTGTTGGAATTTGTATAAAATAATGCTGGCTGGAGTAGTCATAGTGTATGTTTATTTGCACAACTTATCCATATATCTACGCGTGTATCAGATTTCTAAGGATTATACATAATTTTATACTTTTCTCTTGGGCAGGAATTATTAAGACTTAAAATATAAATTGTGGAGCAGAGGAAAAAAGAAGGGCAACTCTACTTTATGGGCTGGTGGCGTTGGGAACTCGATGGTGAGAAGTCTATGTTATGGGCTGGTGACGTTGGTAACTCGATGGCAAGAAGTCTATGTTATGGGCTGGTGACATTGGGAACTCGATGGCGAGAAGTCTATGTTATGGGCTGGTGACATTGGGAACTCGATGGCGAGAAGTCTATGTTATGGGCTGGTGGTGTGGGGAACTCCATGGTGAGAAGTCTATGTTATGGGCTGGTGGCGTTGGTAACTCGATGGTGAGAAGTCTATGTTATGGGCTGGTGGCGTTGGGAACTCGATGGCGAAGTCTATGTTATGGGCTGGTGACATTGGGAACTCGATGGCAAGAAGTCTATGTTATGGGCTGGTGACATTGGGAACTCGATGGCGAGAAGTCTATGTTATGGGCTGGTGGTGTGGGGAACTCCATGGTGAGAAGTCTATGTTATGGGCTGGTGACGTTGGTAACTCGATGGCAAGAAGTCTATGTTATGGGCTGGTGACATTGGGAACTCGATGGCGAGAAGTCTATGTTATGGGCTGGTGACGTTGGGAACTCGATGGCGAGAAGTCTATGTTATGGGCTGGTGGTGTGGGGAACTCCATGGTGAGAAGTCTATGTTATGGGCTGGTGACGTTGGTAACTCGATGGCGAGAAGTCTATGTTATGGGCTGGTGACATTGGGAACTCGATGGCGAGAAGTCTATGTTATGGGCTGGTGACATTGGGAACTCGATGGCGAGAAGTCTATGTTATGGGCTGATGACATTGGGAACTCGATGGCAAGAAGTCTATGTTATGGGCTGGTGACATTGGGAACTCGATGGCGAGAAGTCTATGTTATGGGCTGGTGGTGTGGGGAACTCCATGGTGAGAAGTCTATGTTATGGGCTGGTGACGTTGGTAACTCGATGGCGAGAAGTCTATGTTATGGGCTGGTGACATTGGGAACTCGATGGCGAGAAGTCTATGTTATGGGCTGGTGACATTGGGAACTCGATGGCGAGAAGTCTATGTTATGGGCTGGTGGTGTGGGGAACTCCATGGTGAGAAGTCTATGTTATGGGCTGGTGGCGTTGGTAACTCGATGGTGAGAAGTCTATGTTATGGGCTGGTGGCGTTGGGAACTTGATGGAGAGAAGTCGATGTTATGTGCTGGTGGTGTTGGGAAACAAGCAGACAAACAGATTCTTAAAATATAATTTCATTAAATAATGTTGTTTGGCAATAAACATGTATTTATTAAGCAGCCTAATTAGCATGCACTATCTTTATATACATCTCTACTCGGAGACCGCAAAGACTGCTAGTCACATGCTCTGCTCGGCAGTTATAGTAAAATGGAAAAATGCCAGTTTGCGCCTCCTTGTGTTAAACTGTGTTTTAATTCTCCTCCTCTTTCAACTTCCATTTATGCAAGGATACGGGCTGTAGCACCATTTATTGCTTACAGGATGTCACCATATCAGGTGTGTGCATGTGTAGTCATGTTATAATTGTTTATAACAATGCTGATGATACTAAGATATGTAACAGGGTTGATGTTCCAGGAGGGATAAGCCAAATGGCAAATGATTTAGGTAAACTAGAAAAAAGGTCAGAATTGTGGCAACTGACATTTAATGTGGATAAGTGCAAGATAATGCATCTTGGACGTAAAAACCCAAGGGCAGAGTACAGAATATTTGATAGAGTCCTAACCTCAACATATGAGGAAAGGGATTTAGGGGTGATTATTTCTGATGACTTAAAGGTAGGCAGACAATGTAATAGAACAGCAGGAAATGCTAGCAGAATGCTTGGTTGTATAGGAAGAGGTATTAGCAGTAGAAAGAGGGAAGTGCTCATGCCATTGTACAGAACACTGGTGAGACCTCACTTGGAGTATTGTACATAGTACTGGAGACCGTATCTTTAGAAGGATATTGATACCTTAGAGAGGGTTCAGAGAAGGGCTACTAAACTGGTTCATGGATTGTAGGATAAAACTTACCAGGAAAGGTTAAAGGATCTTAACATGTATAGCTTGGAGGAAAGACGAGACAGGGGGGATATGATAGAAACATTTAAATATATAAAGGGAATCAACACAGTAAAAGGAGGAGACTATATTTAAAAGAAGAAAAACTACCACAACAAGAGGACATAGTCTTAAATTAGAGGGACAAAGGTTTAAAAATAATATCAGGAAGCATTACTTTACTGAGAGGGTAGTGGATGCATGGAATAGCCTTCCAGCTGAAGTGGTAGAGGTTAACACAGTAAAGGAGTTTAAGCATGCGTGGGATAGGCATAAGGCTATCTTAACTATAAGATAAGGCCAGGGACTAATGAAAGTATTTAGAAAATTGGGCAGACTAGATTGGCCGAATGGTTCTTATCTGCCGTCACATTCTATGTTTCTATATTTCCACCTCATCCACATGTGAGCCTATAGGGCTACTCCATACATTTGTTAAAGAGAATAAATATTGACTGATAATGTTCTGCCACTTCCTTGTTGCTGTCTAAATGACTTTAGAAGTTTCAATTTCAAGCAGGTACTTATCTTCCAATACTGGAAGATTGACTTGTGCATTCCGTATTAAACGAATTGTGATTGGTCTGAATTTGGGGTGATACCGGTGATACTTCTGAATTCCATAAATCCAAAACGCTATGTGGGCAAATCACAAAACAAAACAAAAAACCAGACAATACACTAACAGTTTTGTGTGATTCATGATTTAGAGTTCTGTTCATGTTTCAAAAAAGATGACTGATGGTTAGGGAACAGCTACTAAATGGTGATTTTATTCCCAAATCAGGTGAGAAGTGATCAACAGAGGGAAAAAAGGAATAATAAAAAATAAACAAATTTCATAATTATAAACTATAGATTTACTTTTTTTTTTATCAGAAATTTGTATTGAGTTTTGAAGACAGAAGCAACTCACTTTCCAGAGAGTATGATTCCACCGTGCTTTTGCTGTAACCAAAGCATTGCCTCCTCTTTCCCAATTCTGTGCTTTGTGCCAATGAAGCCACTTCTTATCAGCAATGCTGGAACCAGGCCGGCCCAAGACCACATAGAAGTCCAAACCATAGATTCCAATGATTGGGTCATATTGAATTCCCAGATCAATGTGCTACTGGATTCCAAACCCAAAGTTCCTGGTGTCAGAAAAGTTATTTTTCCTCAATTCGTATTCTCTGACCTACTCAACTTTGGCTCCTCGCACTGTGCAATAAACAGCAATCTTTTCATACCTCCTGATACCAAAGGATCTGACAGTGTAACATACTTAGGAGAAAACAGGAGTCTGACTGGCGAGCTGCACTTTGGCTGCCCGGGTCAGTCTGTCACCGCTCTCACCAACACAGATGTTCAGGCACAGCTTGCGGATCCTCAGTTTGCGCATTGGGTTTTCTTTCCTAGATTTATCCGCCATGTTGGGAGCAGAGGAGAGCATAGATTTACATTTTTACAGCTCCTTTGTTATTAGTCTTCTGACTTGATCTATGAACCAAATGATGGGAAAAGACGCCTATTATGGTACTGCAAAAAAGATACAGAATATTTACATTATATAAATATATTTACATTAAATTTATATTCTGTATATTTTGCAGTACACGGCTTGGCCCATTAAATGATTGGCTATAGTATAGTTGTAGTGTAGGGGTTAATGATTGGCTATAGTATAATGGTAGTGTAGGGGTTAATGATTATAGTGTAGTGTAGTGTAGTTGGGGTATTTATTGTAGTGTGATAGAACAGGAGTTAATGATTAAGGGTACTGTAGCCCCAGTGCTGTCTAAGATTTGTGGCAGTTGTAAGCCCAGGACTATTTCAGTCATTACAAATGCTGCTCAGGAGCAACTCTCACTAATATTGGGCAGAGTAAGACAGTATGTGCTGGTTTTGCCAGAGGCAGAAGCCGCAGACTTTACAGAGGATCTGTGCGAATTCTCAGGTAGACCATGATGTGATAGAGATTATATATATATGTGGTTTTACTGAAAATAATGACATCTTGGAGGGATTTAGGCGCAATCTTTGCTCACATGGGGTACGAGATCGCTAGCAATATTTTCCCATAATACACACGATATATATTTATGTATTTGTAGTCTGGGATATAAGCCATTATAATAAGGAATTCCAATAATAATATAATTAGAAGTAAGCACCAGTCGGTTGTGGTGTGCCGTAACCGACGTATGGGGTAGGCCTGTAATAAAAGAGGGCTAAAAGTTGATGTATACAAATAACCTTTATTACATACATGTAATAATAAAATAATAATAATAATGTTAAAAAACTAAGCCTTTAAATGCTAATCTCAATTCCTGTTCTGGCTGTGGTATATAACTGGTATATGCTGCTGATTTCCAGCGTCCTAACCTCTTAATTATATGAGCAGTGACCTTGTGGCTTGATGCCGCGGAAGCGGCCCCAATTCTGAAGGTGTGGTCAGAAAAGGCAGAGGGGTCAAGACCGAGTCTAATGAAAAGTGTTCTGATGTCTAATATGAATTTAGTAGTGGTCAGAGGTTTGCCATGTAAAAGGAGTAATGGCATATTTGGGTTAAGACCGTCTAGTGTTGAACAATATATGTAATATGTATTATATATATACAATTTAACTGGACACCAGTGATTACCGGTGGGGTAATCGCATACTTTAGTAGGAGGGCCTAACTGGTTTGTTTTAGTGTGATCAATAGTAAGTACGTAATATAAGATTTCTATTAAATACTGTTAAACGGAAGAAATACATTGCAGAAAAAAACATCTCATGATAAATAAAAATTAAACTGTGAAACAATCAGGAACCATAAAAAAAAAAAAAAAATCAAAGATTTAAAAACCAGGGTTTTAGCCAAGAAAGGTTCACAAAGGATTTCTAAATAGAGATCCTGCTTTCTCGTGCTTTTGTTAAATGCCAACAGGTTTGTGAGCTGCTTGGAGCGTTTCTGCTTCGGGAAATATTGAACGCAGTGCTGTCCTCGATGAACTCAGCAATGAGAAGGGGGAGGGGAGGGGTGCAATGCTCTGCTTTATACACTATCTACATCATTCTTAGATGATAAATGCTTGTTGGTTCCCCCATTTATTCTGCTTTTCGCCTTAGAATGTTAGGTGTTGGGAGGGACACACTCAGGACACAAGTCGACCTGCTATAACACACTATCCTCCATGGCTGAAGCTCTTCTCGCAGTCTAGACTCGCACAGATTGAAGCAGGCAGCAATTATGGTATTCATGTTAGCGAGCTGCACCAACGCGCTCAGAGAAAGGAGAGCCATGAAGCTGCAGAATAGGGAACACAACATGGAGTCGAATTCACTAAACAGCAATTTACAGCGAATGGAAAAAATGAATTTCTAGAATATAATTACAATTAGCCAAGCTGAGACGGGGAATTTTTCGAAATCAACTATTTTAGCCCAAATTATGTAATTTGGTTGTTAATCTCCTACAGATCAGTGTTTAGCAGACAAACCCCAACAAATTGTATTTTATGTGACTATCGATGAATCGGCAATCACAAATAAATCTAATAAATCTAATAATAGACCTTGATGCTGTATAAAATAGGATGTATTTGATGATTAGAACTTGGATTAGAGTTACAGGCTGGATCCACTGTCATGCCTTTAGTAAAATGGGATTTAATAAAACAAGGAATTAAACATATATGGAAAGCTTGATCTAGTAAGGTACATTTATTGTAATACATAAATATTTCACAATATTTCAGATGCATTTTCTTAGCTCTGTCCCAATGATTGCATAGTGTTCTTCAGATTTTTGTTTTAAAAAGAAAATAATAATTATGATAATTCAAATTAAATTGTTGTGACAAATCCTAGCTGCACATGGAGTATTGGAAATTTTTGTTCCCCAGTATAAGAAAGTATAGTTTCCCAGTATAGGAGAATACCGGAACCTTTATTCCCCCAGTATAGGAGAGGACCTGAACCTTTATTCCCCCAGTATAGGAGAGAACCTGAACCTTTATTCCCCCAGTATAGGAGAGGACCGGAACCTTTATTCCCCCAGTATAGGAAAGGATCAGAACCTGTATTCACCCAGTATAGGAAAGGATCAGAACCTGTATTCACCCAGTATAGGAGAGGACCTGAACCTTTATTCCCCCAGTATAGGAGAGGATCAGAACCTTTATTCCCCTAGTATAGGAAAGGATCGGAACCTTTATTCATCCAGTATAGGAGAGGATCAGAACCTTTATTCCCCTAGTATAGGAGAGGACCCGAGCCTTTATTTCCCCCAGTATAGGAGAGGACCGGAAGCTTTATTCCCCCAGTATAGGAGAGGACCTGAACCTTTATTCCCCAGTATAGGAGAGGATCGGAACCTTTATTCCCCCAGTATAGGAGAGGACCTGAACCTTTATTCCCCAGTATAGGAGGACCGGAAGCTTTATTCCCCCAGTATAGGAGAGGACTGGAAGCTTTATTCCCCCAGTATAGGAGAGGACCGGAGCCTTTATTCCCCCAGTATAGGAGAGGATCGGAACCTTTATTCCCCCAGTATAGGAGAGGACCTGAACCTTTATTCCCCCAGTATAGGAGAGGACCTGAACCTTTATTCCCCCAGTATAGGAGAGGACCTGAACCTTTATTCCCCCAGTATAGGAGAGGACCTGAACCTTTATTCCCCAGTATAGGAGAGGACCTGAACCTTTATTCCCCAGTATAGGAGGACCGGAAGCTTTATTCCCCCAGTATAGGAGAGGACCTGAACCTTTATTCCCCCAGTATAGGAGAGGACCTGAACCTTTATTCCCCAGTATAGGAGGACTGGAAGCTTTATTCCCCCAGTATAGGAGAGGATCGGAATCTTTATTCCCCCAGTATAGGAGAGGACCGGAGCCTTTATTCCCCCAGTATAGGAGAGGACCTGAACCTTTATTCCCCCAGTATAAGAGAGGATCGGAACCTTTATTCCCTCAGTATAGGAGAGGACCAGAACCTTTATTCCCCCAGTATAGGAGAGGATCGGAACCTTTATTCCCCCAGTATAGGAGAGTACCGAAGCTTTATTCCCCCAGTATAGGAGAGGATCGGAACCTTTATTCCCCCAGTATAGGAGAGGACCAGAACCTTTATTCCCCCAGTATAGGAGAGGATCGGAACCTTTATTCCCCCAGTATAGGAGAAGACCATAACATGTTTTTCCCCCAGTATAGGAGAATACCGGAACCTTTTTTCCCCCTATAGTACAGTCCCAGAATATTTATTCCTATCAGTATTGTACAAGAACAGTTTTTCCCAATATAGGAGAGAGAGCAAGCAATATTATTACCCTAGTAAAAAAAACAGGAGAGTAACATTTATCTCTGAATATAGCAGAGTACCAGAACATTTATCTCTGAATATAACAGAATATGGGAACATTTATTTCAATCCATTGAGTGTATCTAGAAGTATATATTATATACACTGCACAATATACATACAATAACAGACAGTCTGAAATCCTCTGATTTTATTTGAGATTTGAATGAGCTAAAAGTGATCTTCAGGTTAAATTAACCATATTCAAGCCCTGAGAACATAACATATTCCTACCATCTCTACAATTAGTGAAAGAGAGCATTGTTTGGGCACCGAACTGAGCCGAGAAAGAAATCATAATAACGAGATTTACTTGTCAAGATGAAAAGTTTCATAAACAACAGCATTCAAACTGCGCTGGATTTCCATCGTCCTGCGGTAATTGCCTTCTGCATGAACTTACTCAATGGAAATTCCTTAGCTGGCCCTTGAATTCCTGCTAATTAAGCAAATATCCCCCGCTTGAGAATCCAGGTGCATTGCTGGTGTTTTCAATACATGTCGCGCCTACTCAAACTAATATGAGCTCATGGTGAACCCCTCAATTAGCAGCCACTTCACCCCACCGCTCGCTGGGCGCAGGCGACAAGGAACAAAGACTGGGGCACCCAGACATTCAGCCCAGAATATGGAAATTCATATAGTGTCTGTCATGCAAATAGAAAATTGTGAATTTGTGGTTTAAAAAGGACACTCCACGCACCATGCCTATCTGTACTTCATGGAAACCCCCGATCTAACTGCACAGTTTACACCGATGCAATTAAAAGACCTCACACTCACTAAGTGACATCACCATTCTTGTGAGACAAACTGTGCTGCTGCTGCTGCCCCGAGTATGAGTGGCTGCAGCAAGCTTAAAAGAAGAAAAACGAATGCATCTCTACAACAAACTAGTGGGAGCAGCACTACAACTTGTTAGCTTCCCAGGAAAATCTTTAGGAGCAAAAATTGCAAAAGGAACAGAAAGTGTGAAAAATTTATTATGTTGGTGCATTGTAGATAAGACAGAAAAATGTATATATGGTCTAGTACAGTTTTATTACTAAAACAAAAGAAAATAAATGTATATTCAAAATATTTTCTTTTTGTGTTATTTTGATATAACCACAGCTTTTTATTTATTTAAAGGAACACTATAGGGTCAGGAATACAGATATGTATTCCTGACACTATAGGTCTAAATAGCTGTTCAGGTGACCGGCCTCCCTTGTCCCGTTAAAAAGGTGATTTTACTTACCTTAACCTAGCGCTGCGCGGGTCTTCTGGCAGCTTGCTTCGCCACCTTGGCTGAGATCATTAAACTTGATGATCTCGGCCAATCCAGTGGAGAAACATTGGGAGGCTATAACCCTGCACTGAGCCAATCAGCATCTTCTCTGAGATGCACTGAATCTTTATATCAAGCATTCAGCATCTCCATGGACAGAGTGGAGACGCTGAACGTCTGTGCTGCACAGTGTGGACACTTTAGGCGTTAAATCACTGTTTTTACAGCCCGTATCACACCTCCCTGCATGTGACTTACACAGCTTTCCCAAACAAGTCCTGAAAAGTAACCTAGATAGACTAGGTTACTTTATTGTACAGTCGGTTTAATTTAGAATTGCTTATCTCCAGCTTTGTTAATCACCTTCTTGACCAGTGGTTCCCAACACAGTCCTCAAGTATCTCTAACAGTGCAGGATTTAGGGATTACCCAGTTGTGTCTAAGGTGTTTTTTTCTTTCTTTCTTTCTAAAAACACATTTCACACAACCGGGTAATGCTTGAGACACTCAATACAAAACAATCAAAAGTATAATTACAGGTATACACATACAATCCCATACATGTTCACCCAGGACATACTTGAAAATGAGAGAAATCTCAATGTATCTTTCCTGGTAAAATATTTTATAAATAACATAGACATACTCAGATATATACACATACACAATCAATCACATACACACTATCACTGGCATACACACACAAAAATCACATTTAGAAATTAGGAACCTTAGGGAGGGCTGGAGAGGATGCTCTCCCTGTTGGCTAGTGGTTGCTGCTTAGTGATGCCAATGCTGGAATGACATCATACCCAGCCGCCAACTCACTGCAGGGCACGCAAAGGAGCTGTGCAGAAAGAGCACAGTATGTAATTGGTTCCCTGCCGCCCTCACTGCCAGGCTGCCCGGAAGGCAACTGGACCACATTACAAGCAGTACAGGGCCGCAAGTTGGACACATCTGATCTACAAACTAAAACTGCTTCATTAAGCTGAAGTTGTTTTGATGCCTATAGTATACCTTTGGTTTATACATCTGCTAATTTTGGCAAAAAATACATAGCATAATGCAAAGATTATATTTCATAATTTGCCTCAAGGGGACCTTGTGATCGAGGTAAAGTACAAATCTGCTTATAAGGGAATTACACTGATACATGTGTCAAAAGCATAAATTACTATTTTATTATTTTAAATTAAGGGAATGCAACCTATTGCAAAACACAAAACAAGGAAATGAGAGAGATTGGGGAATCGACTGAATCTCGCTCTATACAGTTTTTCATTTTTTTTTGTTAAAGAATGGAATTATAAACTGCAAGAGAAAAAAAAGCGATAATGAATAGTCACAATCTGCTACCTATGTGAAAATGTAGACAATGCGATAATGAATTAATTTTCCAAATAAAGAATTTTTCCCATACAGAGAAACGGAATAAAAAAAAAACGCGACTGGTGCATCAGCAATGGTTTGTTAGTGCGCAGACAAGAAAGGTCTGCGATCCATTCCCCATGGAAACAGTGACAGCAAATAAAGTGACAGCGCCAGACATACAAAGCAGCCGCAGGTCACTGTTACTGGGACACAGACACCTTCAGGCTCCGTCCAATCAATACAGTAAATATCCAGACAGCGCAGGATTTATACCAAAAAGATAGCACGTAGTATTATCACAGGACTTTTCCAGAAACTCAGCTAAACACATCACGTCCGATACATGTTCCCAAATGGTTCTATTAGTAACTCTCCTTCCAAGCATTCGACTGCGTAAAGGTTGAACTATCTGTGAATAAAAATTGGAAAGATGGGAAGAAAAGACCCCTGGACCAAGAAATTGACTTAACCCCTTAAGGACCAAACTTCTGGAATAAAAGGGAATCATGACATGTCACATGTCATGTGTCCTTAAGGGGTTAAATGTCTCCGTGCCATCAAAAGGACAAATCAATAATTAACTCTCAGTATCAGTTAAAATACAGGATTTTGAATTTTTTTATAATCAAACCTGTAACATGCTCACGCCATGTCTTTATAAAGATAATCCATTAAAAATTAAAGGAAAAAAAATGTGTAATCACTGTTTAGTAGGACTGCCTGCAGCCCCCCCACAGGGAGTGCCTCATTCTTACCCGACAATCTTGGCTCAGGAAACATTTATGGGGCTATTCGTTTATCCTCAATGAACAGTTCCGCTCATGTCATAAGATGATTGGAAGTATTTTCTAAAGTGATAACAGCCACAATGTAGTGGCTCTTGGTTTATTCATGTTTAGTGATTCACGTCACTGGATTCTGTGCATGCGCAGTCCAGTAAACAGCCCAAGCTGCGTAAAACAGACACAGGCATGAGAGACAGTTTTAAGGGGCTGAATTATGGCTGTGTAAACATTGCTGCAATTGCCAATACAGCGTTATGGATCCATTGTCAGCGCATCACTTCATTAAAGGTACGGTGTAGGCACTATAACTATTTCATCTCATTGAATTAGTTCACTTGTCTCAGCCGCCCATTGCTGGTCAGGCTAGTGCTTCAACATTAGTACAAGCAGAACAGAGGGGATCGGCTGCTGGGGACTAATGTAGCATTAAAACAACAAGTTAACATTGATGGAAGGACAGCACCAGGGGACTTCAGACACTATAACCACTTCAGTGAGATGAAGCAGTGACTATAACACTGTATGACTAGATCACCTTTACCGAATGATTATTAAAGACAATACATACACTATGGGCGGTTTAAAAAAAAAAGAAAAGTGGAAAATATTAGATATAGCCAATTAGATTGTCATGTCTTCTTTTTCTGTGCATATCATTTACAAATACTAGGCGGTTTAACTACCATACCGGTAAAGTATGGAGAATACGAACACGGCACAGTATGAGCATGTTACATAGAGACGTGTGTCCATCAAGTTCAACCTTCCTAACATGAAAACAATGAAGATAAAAATAAATGCTCAGTGTGAATGCGGGATCTTTGGGAACATAGTTTAAAATGTAAGAATTTTCCAACTTTTCTGTGTGAATCACTGATGTCATTTAATTTCCACTCTCCTTTTCCCTGATTACATACATCGTAATGTAAGTGGGTAGGTGGTTACATTTCTTATGTGAATTTCTCAGAGATGTCCACTTTAGAAAATGTATACTTTGACGCATTTAATTCATTTACCATTTATTTATCCCTAAACTGCCCAGCAAAAACAACTCAAAATTCCATAATGCCAAAGTGCCTCCCAATCAGGTGACAGTCCTGATTTGGCACCCGTGTCCCACAGCCTTGGGTTACTTCCCTGGTGTTATTTTTAAGACACCTGTAAGAAGCCTAAAATTTTTTTTAATAAAAACACGCAGAAAAATTACATAATTCTACTCACTCTCTGGACCACTGACTGTGTCTGCATTGCTCCCCACCGAGACAGCCGGCAATGGCTGACAGTGTCTGCATCGCTCCCCATCTAGGCAGCCGGCAATGGCTGACAGTGTCTGCATCGCTCCCTACCTAGACAGCTGGCAATGGCTGACCGTGTCTGCATCGCTCCCCACCTAAACAGCCGGCAATGTCTGACCGTGTCTGCATCGCTCCCCACCTAGGCAACCGGCAATGGCTGACCGTATCTGCATCGCTCCCCACCTAGGCAACCGGCAATGGCTGACCGTGTCTGCATCGCTCCCCACCTAGGCAGCCGGCAATGGCTGACCGTGTCTGCATCGCTCCCCACCTAGACAGCCGGCAATGGCTGACCGTGTCTGCATCGCTCCCCACCTAGACAGCCGGCAATGGCTGACCACATCTGCATCGCTCCCCACCTAGACAGCCGGCAATGGCTGACCACATCTGCATCGCTCCCCACTTAGGCAGCCGGCAATGGCTGACCGTGTCTGCATTGCTCCCCCCTAGACAGCCGGCAATGGCATGGGTAACCAACCTTGGCACACCAGATGTTGTGGACTACAACCCTCGTGCTCTTACATCCATAATGCTAGTACAGGGGGGATGTAGCCCACAACATTTGGAGTGCCTAAGGTTGCCACCCGCTGTCCTAGACAGCTGGCAATGACTTTCTGATGGTGTTATTTTACCAGATAAACCATATTCTTATTCTCTCCTCTTAAGAGCTCACTCACTATTGCTTTTTTCTGCATGCCTTTCTCTACCCATTCTCGAATCTTAGATTTGTTCTTCCCCTCATCATTACCTCTTCTCATCTCTTCCCTTTAGTTCACCCTTCTATGTTTGATGGTCACTATTTTGTTTCTCTAAGCAGTGTTAGTACATATCACGACACACTTTGTGCACAATGAGTTACTCGAAAATAAATTTCAACTTCAAACTTTATTCAATTAATTCGCTCAAGAAGGAAAGTCCTGATCATGTGATCCATATACATACACCCACACCAGCACTAACATTGCTCCAGTGTTAATAACTACAAAATCAGATCTACGTTATATCAGTATTGAGGAGTTTTCCTCTACGGCTCCTGCCTGGTCACACTATACAGGCACTAATTAAAGAGAATTTCAAATGGCCAGGCCAAACGCCGCTCAACTCACTAAACCGCTCATTTCAGCAAATGAAATCCAAAGGCAAAAGTTAAGTAAAAAAAAAAGCTGCTTTGGAAACAATCTCTGATACGGTTATTGTCCCAGTTTGACTATTTTAGCCTCCGTTTTGCCTTTCGGATTAAAATGTGCTAAAATGTTTAGTGAATAACCATGTTTTATTGTGATATAACAGACTATAAACTAAAGAACGATGTATCATTCAAACTAGGAAGTAACAAATTATGAAATCATGTTATTTCACATCCCAAACATTGTAATTAAAAAAAAAATATGTAGAAATATACAATTAAAACAATTACAGTGCTTGCCTCCAGCAATACAGGATTCCAAATCATAGAAATGCAAACACATGGATCCCGGTCATTATACAAATACGGACCTAAATGAAGCCCTTTCACCTTTTAAACGAAGAAAATACCTCTCTCTGGAAATTGTATGATATTATATAAATTTAATAAAACATCAAAAATCACATACAACTAGTATTAACCTTTTCTTTTTTTATGAGATGTGGTTTTCATTTAAACTGAAGATTAAACAAATTACATCACAATCCAGTACAGCCCTGGCACAGCCAAGGCACAAATTTCAAATGGGGACAAGAAATTGAAAAATTGTTCCTGTCAAGTGTAAAGGACAGAGCTTGCAGCAATGGTTGGCAGGGAGCTAAGATGGAGGCGCCCAATTTAGGAGAGAAGTAAATATGCCCATATGAATTTTTACATTTCATTTTTCACAAACACATTATTTGTTAAATGTATTGGATTAATAAATAGAGTATTATACATGTAGTTTCTCTTTAAGAATATTACAGTAGCATCATGCATTATTTCAAACCATATCACATTGCCAGGTGCAAATATGCAAAAAAGAAAAATTAGATTTAAAAAAAAAAGAAAGAAAAAAGGGTCAGTGATATCTGCAGATCATTCATTACTAAACTGTATCCAAGGCCTTTACCAAGACGTTAAGGTTCCAAGCCTCCTCCTCAGAGCTTTACTAAAAGACCGGCTCCTGATACTTTGGCTACTTTTACTTCAACATATTGATGTTTACTCACTTAATTTGAAGTTGTGGATTTTTAGAACCAAATAGTAAAGTTTTTCCAATTTGGTCAAAAAAAAAAAAAAGAAAAAGGAGCAATTCTAATTTTACTGACTAACTTCCCCCTCTATTCTACATGTACATCCACCAACATTAAATGTTGCCGAAGAACAGAACACGATAATTTATTACGTATAAACAGGCGTACATTTTTGTTTGAAGTTTCAAGGCTGCAAAAGTCAACACAAATTGCGCTGCTTAACATGTGTTACAACGCCACCTTTGTACTACAATCTCTCCATCAATTTTATTAATAAGAAGGAAATAGGTGTTGCAAGTTATTAGCCAACATCATTTACATTATTCGGATCATCTTACGGAAACCCTCACTTGTTCTGAGAAAACCTTAGTGTCTATCTGAAGCGTCAGTAACCTGGGTAGTGATGGCAGCCATTTTAGGTTATTCTTCCTGCAATAAAGAAGTGATTTTGGGAGCAAAGCATATTATTATTTTTTGTTAATAAAATCAAGACATTTTGTCGCATTGTAAAGCTCACAGTGTTGGATTGATGCTTACGGTCTCCTGTGAGGTGCGCATAGCAGGTATTTTAACCACGAACAAAATCAGAGAAGATGGAGTGGATTTATTTATCAGACAGAATACACAGCAGTATTACGGGAGCAGTAAAGGCAGGTTTTCTGTTCTCTTGCAATTTTCTGAACAAAACAGTTTGATTCTTTAATGGCAGGTATGAGGCATGCTGGGAATTCAGATGAGATACTATGAGGTCAGGCCGCAATGTACCGAGCGATTTAGTCTACGCCTCTGGGTACTCTGCTCTGCTCTCAAAGAAAGAATTAAAAAAAAAAAAAAAAAAAAAGGAGGTAACAAGTCCTCACCAGGCGCTCGATCTATTGTATCGCTGCTCCTCATGAATATTTTACACCCACTGCTTTTGTTATCTCCCCCTTCACAATTTTTTTTTCCAGACAAATAAATTATGCTCCGCAGAAGTAAATCACAAGTTGGGAAAAGTTGGGGAAAAGTTGACAGGTGGTATTTTCAGATGGCAAAGGTTATGTTAATAATCACAGAGCTCCCTAAACCCAAGGCCTCCCCTACTCGTAGAGCGTCAGACTCTCCTGATCCCAGTCTGCTCTCCATTCCAGAAGCACACGCACACCTCGCAGCTCCCAAGAGCCTAACCCGTGGATTTTAAACGCCAAACATCACAAGTTAGGGTCTCAGGGATTGAGAGGGGTACATAGACAGGAAGGTGCAATGTCACATTCAGAATTGTATTTAACTCCATATCTGCCAGAGGACACAGCAGCACATTGCACAGGGTGACGGGGTTAATGGGGAGGGAAAGGGTTACAAGGGGAGGTGGGGAGGGGGGGGGAAGAGAATGTCATGCAAATACACTGGGAATGACAACGAAACTTCTAAAAGCTGAAAAAAATAAATTTTTAGTGCACAATTTAACCACTATGGAAACACGTTCTGCGCTCAGCTCGTAGTGGCTGCCTTCAGGTTTTTTGGGGGATTAAAAGTTCAGGCTGGGAGATCCAAAGCGTCATGGTTCAATAGTAACTCAGATTTAAACTCACCATGATGATAAAGCAGGATATTCTCCCTCTGGAGCCATTGGGATAAGAATTATTGAAGGCACACGGATTTTAACATCCTTCAGCGAAAGCACTTTAAGGTGCAATAACCTAGCAACGGCGAAGATCTGTTATTATTCAGGCATTCAGTATGTGCGGCGCGCACACACAGACCCTGCACGCTCGGATGCTGGGCCTCTCTGCCTCCTGGCTGAATGTCAAGGAAACGATCAAACGGAGCTCAGTCTGTCATCTGGTATGCACTAAACTCAAAGGAGCGATGGGAGGAGGAGGGGGGAATCAGGAGAGATGTAGTTTCCTATCCAAAGTTAGCAAATACCTGCACTTCCATCAAAAAAACATTTTATATAGGTGTGCGTATTTTATGTACAAACACACACACACATATATATATATATATATATATAGATACAAACACACACAGAGATATATATATACACAAATACACACACATATATTTATAAATGTATAGATACAAACACACACAGACATATATATACACAAATACACACACACATATTTATATATACAAACATTCACACATACATACACACATATATATATATATAGACACACCTTTAACTACTTGCAAGAAGAATCACAGCAGCGCCGCGCATTTTTGCCGGACACTGCAGCGCATGTGACACCCCCACCCCCACCCCAAACTCCCCATATTCCAAGAAAAGCGGGCGATCCCAGATCTCCTTTCATTTAATCCGGGGGGCCCTGCAATGGGCATCTTCATGCGCAGACCTGGGGGGAGGAAGGAGGGGTGGGGGAGCAAAATTGGAAATGCACAACTTGAGAGAGCACAAGACAAACAATATTTGATATGTACAGTATACCGTATAGCACATATACACGTAGAAATGCTTGTAATAAAATCACTTATTAAAAATAAAAATTACACAGGAATGATGCAAAACGTGATTCCTTTAATAGTAAGAAAGGTGAGATTGCAAGCTCTGTGGGCGATTAGTCTCCGATTTCCATGCTTTCACTGGTCGATGAAACATGCATCCAGCCCTCTGCGCATCCCAGATATATTAGCCGTGTTTCCTTACCTCCGCTTCACGCAGCAAATACAGCATTATCCTCCGCTTGTTCGCAAACGCCATCTCCCTCGCTCTCCCCAGATCTTATCCTTTCTCCCCCCCACCCACTCTTTTTCCTTCTTCATATTTTTTCTTTTTTCCTGCATACAAAGACGGGCCCCGAACCACTAGCTGTGTGAAGTGAGCGCCTTACAGAATGCACATTCACTCTTCACTGAGTCCCTCTGCTTCAGCAAAAGAACTAGACTGGGTGCGGGGGAGCGTAGTCAATGGGAGGATGCGGAGGGACAGCAGCATTGGGCACAAATCAATGACAAGCTGAAGATTTCCTAGATCATACTGCCCCCTTTCTGTTCGAGTGTGTGCTCATGCAAAGCTGCAGCAGGGTATCATTACACAGCTCCCACAGCCAGTCACAAAACGGATTCCATGCATGCCGGCTAATTCGCCAACAGTACACGGAGCCGATATCTGCCACAACTATTCTTCTCAAGGCCCTCAATGCCCCCTGCACTGACACTATGGCATGATATGTATTGCATGACCCATCAGAATGGCAGGTCCCTGTGCCCAGCGAGTTGCCAATTCCACTAATATAGTGCAAGGAAGCCTTAAATATATTCCAGTTTCCAGAAATACACCCTGACGGAATTAAAGAACCTCCCAGACGAGACAGTGATTCCTTCTGAATCACGCAGACGCTATGTAATATAAAGTAGTTTAAGATTACGGTTGCGCGCAACGGCGCCTGTTTTTAACGTACGTGCCAATTCGTATGAAAAAGCATTTTAATGCTACATAAATTACAGAATATGTTGTTTAAGCAGAATATAGTTGACTCCATCTATAATTCTGTATTCAAGACACTGCTTAATATATAAATATATATATTATATAGAAATATTTTTTCTCCTTTCTTTTCCAGAAACATAATGTGTAGTCTGCCGACATAACCGCCGCCTGCTGGACACAGAAAGTGATAACAGCAGGGATTGCTGTGGAGCACGGCGACAACAAAAAGATAGACTTAACCCTGCACATGCCAGACGAGACAGAGGCTGCAGGGTGTGAGAGGGGGAGACAGTGTCTTCTGGGTGTGAGAGGGGGAGACAGTGTCTTCAGGGTCTGCTGGGTGAGAGGGGGAGACAGAGTCTGCTGGGTGTGAGAGGGGGAGACAGGGTCTGCTGGGTGAGAGGGGGAGACAGGGGCTCTTGGGTGAAAAAAGGGGGAGCAGGAGCTGCTAGGTGGGAGAGGGGAGGCAGTATCTGCTAGGTCAGGCATAGGCAACCTTCGGCACTCCAGATGTTTTGGACTACACCTCCCATTGCCAGCATTATGGGTGTAAGAGCATTATGGGGGATGTAGTCCACAACATCTGGAGTGCTGAATGTTGCCTATCCCTGTGCTAGGTTAAAGTGGAAGGGGCTGCTGGGTGGGAGAGGGGGGATGGGGTAAAAAACCCATACATTTCAAACTACATTTTATATCTGTAAAGTTTCCTCCCCGATCCCTCTTTCTTACCTTGAGCATTGGAGCTAGGGGGAGGCAGGGAGGAACCATTTGCCCTGGTGGTCCAGTGGATGAAGAATTTGTTCTACACCCCTTGGCAGGTGTAGAGCATGTGCACAGGGTCTGCACTGTGCATCAGTGTGCAGGCTGGTGAGTGAGATCTTAGATCTCCCCACTGGCCACAGAGCTCCCTCTATGGGCTGGAGGTCATGCAGCACCAGCTGTAAAGGGGCTGGCAGGGGAGATACCCTGTTGGCCTTAGCTCATTGCTATCGCGGCCCACCAGGCATTAGCTCATTGCTATCGCGGCCCACCAGGCATTTGCCCGGTTTGCCCATCCTGGCCTGTTTATAGAAGTATCTTAATATTATCACTTGCTTGTTTGCTATACTGATTGTGACCTTTTGATATCAAGGTTTTCTCTGCATTCTAATAGATGATATTTTTTTGACTGGGCCCTGGGCACTCGGACTATGACAAAAAAACAGCCAAGGCATTTAACGGCAGAGCAGCCGTAGGAGGGGCGCAACCTGTGAGGTTGCATGTTGTGTCATCATCAATGACATGCATGCCTCTCCAAAGTGGGCATATATGTTTAATCTGATCTTTCCTGTCGGCCTTGGCTCTTTGTTATCACGGCCCACCGGGGATTTGCCAGGTTTGCCCGATGGCCAGTCCAGGCCTGTACACATATTTTGGGGTTCTGCTTTGGTTGTATTATACAGATTCACTATCACCACAAAAAGGAGCTTGTCCTACCATAATCTGCCCCCCTTTTTAAATATTACTGCTAAAAGTCTAATCATTTTTTAGGTACGTGCACCGAAATGTTAAAGTACCTGTGTTTCAGTCACTGTGTTCACAATGCTTTCCTAGAATCTATAATGCACATTCAGTATTAACTGCAAACCTTACCGACAATCTGCCTTGTAGTATCTGCATCCGTTGCAGTACTCTCCGACTCCTAGCTTTCTGGGATATCATACGCACAACAACTGACTCTGCATTTTAAACATCGAAAAGCTCCCAGACTGATTTGCTCAATTTATAACATTTACTCAAACCTCCAGCCAACTAATCACTTCCATCGAACGCACCACCTCATGAGACATTCAGTGACAGTGTTAACATCTCGGCAAATGGCCTAGTCTTTCAGGACTCCCATAAATTCTCTACCCATAGCATAGTCCTGTGACACTTTAAAACATTCTCAATTATTTACACTTGTAAGGTAGGTGGACATCCAGTGACCCCAGCACCCCTAAATTCATTGAGAGGAAGTGTCCCTTTAATCTCTACAAATTCATGGCTCTGCAGTTAGGGCCCTCCCAAGTCCCACTCTAATTCTACACCTTCTCCCTCCAGTGGTGTCCACAAAAACGTAAATATCTTTAAAAAAAAAAAACAAACAAAAAAACGCTGATTATTTTTAGCGCTAAACCCCATTGCTGCTTTATAAACCTTACAGAATGTTCTCCTTCAATCCCACTGCTAGGAAGGGTTTCTCTTTAAGATCTGCCTGGTATGTACGAGCTTGTTTGGGTTATCTCCAGCTGCAATATATGCGACCATACAGCTATAATGCACACTGATCGGCTGCAACATTAAAACCACTGACAGGTGAAGTGAATAACATTGATTATATCATTACAATGGCACCTTGTTAAAGGGTAGGAAATATTAGGCAGCAAGTGAACAGCCAGTTCTTGAATTTCAAGTGTTGGAAGCAGGAAAAATGGGCAAGCGAAAAGATCTGAGTGACTGTTACAAGAGGCAAATAGTGATGGACAGGCCATCGGGCATACCGGGCAAATGCGATGGCCATGGGCCGACAAGGGAGCGCAGGCCTTGCTGTGTGCCTGCATGGGCCGGTGGGGAGATCAAAGATCTCCCTCACCCGCCCACAGGCACTTTACAGGACAGTGCGGAGGACCTGGAAGCTATTAGCTCACAGCTCCGCCGGGTTTCTGTCGCTAGGTTGGAGTGTTGCCATGGCAATGCTCGGATTTCACGAGATTGAACTCCAGGAGCTGTGAGCTCACTCACCACTGTGGCCACCATGGATTTCCCACCGGACCACCAGGGCTGGCAGCAAAATATAAGCTATATATATATATTTTTTTTTTAAATAATAATAATAATGCATATATATATATATTTATTTAACTCTAATCTTCCCCCCCACTGCATCCCAAACACATACATTCACTCTAACTGCAACCCCTCACAAACACACACACACACACTGCACCCAAACATACACACTCTCTAACTGCCACCCCTCACAAACACACAAATCCTGCACCCCAAACATACACACTCTCTAACTGCAACCCCTCACACACACACCCTGCACCCCAAACACACACACACTCACTCTAACTGCAACCCCTCACACACAAACACTGCAACCTAAACACACACACACACTCTCTCTAACTGCACCCCTCACACTCACACACACACACTGAACACCTCACATACACACAATGACTGCACCCTTCACACACACACTGCACTTTTCACTCACACATACACACACACACACTAACTACACTACGTTTCTGGCATACACACTTTGAATCCCCTGTGCAGGCACTAGAACCCTTGTAAGCAAACACACTACATCAGGGCCGGTCTAAGGTGATCAGGCACCTTGTGCAAGCCCAACACATGGCGCCCCCCCCTTCAGCAAAGCCCCTGCTCCTTCTACAATAACACTGTTCCGCCTACTACAAAACCCTTCCACAAACCCCCTGCCCCCTTTCTACAAAAACCCTGCCCCCCTTTTTACAAAACCCCTGCCCCTTCTACAAAACCCCTGCTCCCCCTTTAACAAAACCCCTGCCCCCTCTTATACAAAGTTCCTTCTCCCCCTTTAACAAAACACATGCTATCATTATATATATCTACTAACTAGTACACAGTAATGTACACAGAATATCACTCCCCCCTCCACCAAAACCACTGTCACCCTCTACAAAAGCCCTGCACTCATTCTACATAAACCCCTGCTGCCCTTCTACAAAACACCTCCCCCTTCTACAAAACCCCTTGCCCAAAACCCCAGCTAGAGAACCTCTGTTTCCCCTTCTGCAACCCCCCCACACACAAAAACACCTGCCACCCTTCAAAAAACAAACAATCTATTTACCGTATATACTCGTGTATAAGTCGATCTCATGTATAAGTCGAGTGCAGTTTTGTGACCAACAATTGTGAAATATGCTATGCCTCGTGGATAAGTCGAGGGTAAAACTTGGGGCTATGAAATTCTGTGATTTTTATAATTATATACACACACACTCATACACACACTCTGCATTATATACACACACACTCATACAAACACACTCTGCATTATATACACACACACACTCATACAAACACACACTCTGCATTTTATACACACACTCTGTGTATATAATGCAGAGTGTGTATATAATGCAGAGTTTGTGTTTGTGTAGTGTGTGTGAACTGGGTGGGGGGAGGGCATTTTTATTATTTTAATTTTTTTTATTTTAATATTATATGTTTTTTATTTTAATTTTTTTTTTGTCCCCCCCTCCCTGCTTGTTAACTGGTCAGGGAGGGGGGCTATCTTAATCCCTGGTGGTCCAGTGGCATGGGCTGTGAAGTGGGGGGGCCGGCAGGAAGCATTTACTTACCTTTCCTGCAGCTCCTGTCAGCTCTCTTCTCCTCCGTTCCAGTCAGCTCCACTGTAAGTCTCGCGGTCTGGTTGCCGCGCGGATCGTTGCCATGGCTCTGACGGCCGCGGCTCTCTAAGTTGCCATAATACAGACAGTGACTCGAGTATAAGTCGAGTGGGGGTTTTTAAGCACAAAAAATGTGCTGAAAAACTAGACTTATACTCGAGTATATACTGTAATAAAAAAAAAAAAAGCAATAGTAAACAACAAGAATAAGCAGACTCCAATTAAAGCTTGCTGCGGCCTGGACCCTCCTGACAGTGTCCCAGTCTGCCGACTTTGATTTCAAAGCACTGGCCTCACACTCACTGTGCGGATCCTTCCGCGAATGACTGAAGGCGGAGCACACTCTTCCTTCGTGTTCTTGACCTCCTCTCTCTCCCGGCCGCTGCTCTCCTGATAATTTGTAAGTCAAGTGCACAGCACTATGCACTTGACTTGCTCTGCACAGCTTGCACACCCCTATGGCCGGCCCTGCACTACATTCCCTAAATACCACTCTACAACCCCTACACATATTACATCACCTACACATACATATACTATGGCCCCAATGCACACACTTGGTACATCCTCTATACACACTATGCACCCTATAATATACACACACACACACACACACTTTTTTTTACTCTCTACGGCACTTAGCCACACTTATAACAACACAACTAAAACTGACCTATTTACACAAAACACCACACCCCAGTCGGCTCACTCTACACACACGCAATCCAACAAGCAGGCTCCAACACATGCACAATTCCCTTTCCTGGCCCTTTTGTCCTCTGGTATCCCACTTATGGAGACACCGAAGACAAGTCACAAACCAACACAGCGCAAGCATGTTAATAAATTTACTTGGGCTACTCAGAACAAATACAGGGCCTTTTTCTCACGCAAGAACTCTTCACCAAGGCTCTGCGCATGGGCTGCCCTGGAAGAGCATTGAACCAACATGCGCACTTTGAGAGGGGGCGTGCTTGTCATTGGTGATGCTGCTTTTATGGATAAAAATGGAAATCACTAAATTTATCATCACAACTGGATCCCCTCACACTGGGAAATACCGAATTTAGCCAGGTTAATTCTAATGTCTCTGCTGACTTGTAGGTCTCCTCCCCACTTCTCTCCACCAAAATCCCTTGCATTTGTAACAATCTATCCATGTAAGACCATGGGCAGCAGTCATGCTCCCCTTCCCCAAGTTTTGCAGGGGGAAACTCATTGTGAAGGAATAGAATTGCATTCGCTGGGCACCAGATTAAATGGCAGCTTAAAGTGGCACTGTCATGCCGAATTTACGTTTCTTTAAATTATTCCTCTTCTCTCCCTCCATCAGGATCTGTTCTTCATTTCCAGTGGTCAGAGCAATTTTCCCACAATTCTCACCTTTGATCCGTGATCTTGCAATGCTTTCTGTCAGTATTCCCGAACGTCTTGTCACTTAGACAGAATGCTGGCAAAACTATCGAACTTCATCCTAACAGAATGAGAACAGTTTGTTCATTCATGTTAGGACACAATTGGGCATACGCAAGGAGGGGCATGTCTAGTAAGCAGTGTGGCTGCTCACTGTTAAAAAAATGTAAAATAACCCTCCCCCTCAATAAATGGCCCCATGGTGGGTCATCTCTTAAAGTCACCTATGTAAAAAGTATTTATATATATTAAACCCCGCTTCCGTATGCAGTGGTAAATACTGCATTTTTGTCAGTTCACTTGCAAGAAGCAGGTAAGTGTAAATGGATGTTTTGTAACACCAAATAAAAAAAAACAAAATAAAAAAAACAAAAACACAAGAGGTAATTTTCTATTTGATAAACACCCAAGTTTATATATATATATATATATTTTAATTTTTTTTATTTATTTTTTTAATTATTGTTTTTATTTTTATTATTTTTTTAAATTCCATACAGTAATGAATTGCTCCGAATTGTAACTGAATGCACAGGACTAATTTCAAAATCAGCCTCTGAACTCTTATTTATATTAACCAAGTCTCAAATTTTAATTTGGAGTTTGTAATTTAAAGCCTTTTTGGGAACTTAGTGAAAAACCTGCAAGGGGGTTCCTAATGCAGACCTGGGGGGCAGCAGACAAAACGGAAGAGGATTAAAACAATTGGTTTAATCCAAACTCAATGAATGAAGGATCCTACTCACACATGGCACCGAGTACAACAGTAAGTTCTTCCAACCTAAACTGTTCAAATGCCCAGCACACAACTGGGCAGAGGTGGGGTCTCCTGTGGTCCCCTTTCAGAGTCGTCAGGAAGGATAGCAATAACTAGAGATAGGCAACCTTCAGCACTCCAAATGTTGTGAACTACATTCTCCATAATGCTCTAACACACATAATGCTGGCGAAGAATCATGGGAGGTGTAGTCCAAAACATCTGCAGTGCCGAAAGTTGCCTATGCCTGAACTAGAATCTACATAATCATCGAAGGCATATGGCTACTGCTTTCCTGTAACATTTAGATAGCAGCACAATGATGAACAAGGAAAGTTTAAACAAACTTGTCAATATGTGAAATATGAATGTGATTGACGAGATCACCTGGGGTTCTGTCTCTGCAGAGTTGCGTTAACCCCATTTTGTGTCTGGATGCTCATTGTGGGCAAGATCATTCTAAGATGCTAACGGTATCGCTCTAGTGCTACAAGTGACCAAACACTCACCTCTGGTGCGACTGGGGACTAACCAAACGGTAAGGAACTTCTCTGTTTATTATTGACGCATAGAGTCCGAATGTGTCCACTGATCTGCACCAGCATAAAATATGCAGCTTATATGCAGGTGTGCCTGAGATGCACCATAATTCAGAGCTATCTATCTGCCAGCGTTTTAACCATGTGTCTCACAAGGCACGCTGCGCGTCCTGTTAGCAGCCCGCACCCCCATTTGTTATTTCACAGACAGCATAAAATGCCTGGTTTATAAACAAAATGTCACAATGTGACTAACAAGTGAGCCAAAATAAGCCAGATTTCAAGTCATGCTAAAAAAAAAACAACAACACATTGCACAATCTATGTATTTTTGAACTTCTGAAAACTGTAATACTAAATTGATATTCAATGTTGAGGTTCTCTACATGGAGCAGTCAACTGGGACATTCCATTGGTTTCCATGGCAATAACACCACTTTTAGAACTCTCTTCATAAGGGACAGAGAGGGCCTTGTGTATTAGCTATTCCCCTAACGTGAAATATTCCAAATTGCTATGTTTGTCTGAATTAGATCATTTGCTTTTTTGTTTGTTTTAATTCACTACATCGAATAATACTATCCAAGCACATTAAATCAAGTTACCAAGAGGTGTTTAATTTGCATACACTCATCAGTAAAATGACTGAAATGGACAGCTACTTATTATATGCCTTCAGATACGCACTCACATAATGGGTTTAACTATTTTAAAGTCTGTTAATGTTCCTCATTGGTGAACATACATCTCCCTATGTAACAGTTGCTGATATAACATGTTGTGTTATCTTGGCCATTAGACTTGTGTTTATCAGATAAGACTTTCTCAATGAGCCCAATTTATGATTTATTATTCCAGAGTGGTGTATAGTAAAATAACACCTGTATATCTAACGTATACACAATGAGAAAATATCATGCTGTAAATTCAAAATGACATGAAATGTACAGCTTCCTGCTCTCGGTATCAATTAGATGAAGTGGTCTGGGTGCCTTTAAGGACACACAAAATACATTTTCTTTCATTCGGGCCTTTAACTTTTGAAGCTGTGTCCTTAAGGGGTTAACAAGATTCAGTGAATACATGACACTAAAATATTGTTGATAATTAAATATATAATTACACATTAAATACACTGTTACACATGTACATATGATGTATATAGCTTGAGCACATTGTTTTTATTGAGAAACATGCTGTGCCTTTAAGAAATTTTTTGGTTAATTCGGCTGCGTTCACAGGATCTGAGCGCTTTTTGGATATGTTGGGCGCTCAGATCCAGGCTATCTGGGAATATAGACTTGAGGGGATACCTCACTGGTAGCTGTATGTTTAGGGCGTTATTACTGTATATGTCCTGAACCTGAGAGTTAAAGGACCACTCTAGGCACCCAGACCACTTCAGCTTAATGAAGTGGTCTGGGTGCCAGGTCCAGCTAGGGTTAACCCATTTTTTCATAAACATAGCAGTTTCAGAGAAACTGCTATGTTTATGAATGGGTTAAGCCTTCCCCTATTTCCTCTAGTGGCTGTCTCATTGACAGCCACTAGAGGCGCTTGCGTGCTTCTCAATGTGATTTTCACAGTGAGAGCACGCCAGCGTCCATAGGAAAGCATTATGAATACTTTCCTATGTGACCGGCTGAATGAGCACGCAGCTCTTGCCGCGCGTGCGCATTCAGCCGACGGGGAGGAGAGGAGGAGGATCGGAGGCGGAGAGCTCCCCGCCCAGCGCTGGAAAAAGGTACGTTTTTACCCCTTTCCCCCTTCCAGAGCCGGGTATGTTTTCCTGGCACTATAGTGGTCCTTTAATATAATTATGTTGTGTATTTTGTCTCAGTCTCAGTCTACTCTCAGGCCCAGTGGGGAATGCCCCTGGAATATGTGTCAGGAAACCCCTTGCACATAAAAGGCTGTGTGTGCCTCCATTAAAACCAGTTATACCACCAGAGCTGAGTGTCGTCAGGTTGCAGGGGATGAGGTGGGAGATTCCCATTTAATAATTAAATGATCACCTTATAGAAATATGGTCTCAAAGGATATTAGATATCAACAACATACCGTACATAGTCATTTGTGATACTTCACTTATATTATGGGATATATTATATGTGTGACGTTGTGCCTTCAAGATTTGAGGCATTGTTAATTGTTTTTTGAGTGTATTACGGGTTAATCAATCTGAGATTCTGATTTCAACACATTTGGAAATGTTAATGAAAACACACCCATGTTAAACGATTGTTAAATATAGCACGTGTTGGGGGGCGGGGCCGGACCGCCTGGCTGAACGGATGCAAAATGGAGTAGCTCCTGAAAGAATCTCCAGTTCTAGCCTTAAAATGACGGCTTCAAGCTTACCCGACAACTGGCTACTGAACCCTGGCATGAGAGCCCACCCTGGTCCCGAGGAGAGGCTTGCTGAGAAGTTTTAGTCCCTCGGAGGGGCGATCCCTGTCGCACGATGAGGACCGCTCGGGCGGTGAGCGAGGTAGACGGCCGCTGCCCAGCTATCCTGCCCACCAGCGGGGCTAGGAGGGTCCGGTCCCATGTCCCCCCCCCTCTGGGCCGGCGGGGGTGATCCCGGCCCCCACCCCGTGACCCATCGGAACACCACAAAGCCGGCAATCGGAGCGGAGGCAGAGAAGGCCCAGCGCACCAGCCGTCCTTAAAATGGCAGAAACCACATGGCAGGTGACCCCAATCACAGACAGGCGCACTCACCTCTCCTACAGCCACACAAACAGACCGCTGAGCGGGAACCAGCGGAGAGGGAAATAAGACCTCAGGAGCCGAGTTAATGAGGAACTGTCACGGTACAATGGCCTCCCTGCCACACTAATCTGCCCACCGTGAGGGGGCCGCAACATACGGACTGACCACTCCTAGCAGATTTAATTCCTGTTTCCAGTCCAGAATAAGCACCAGACCGATCTGCCCACAAAGGGACCATAAGCAGTACAGCAGCCACAGAGCTTCCCTTACCAAGAACAACATCCTCGCTGCAGAAAGGCCGGTCCCCTGACGGGCGAAGACAGACCCTCGCCTGGCTGACATGGGACTCACTTGGGGTGGATATTCTATTGTCCAAGGCTGCTTTGGTGTTTACTGGAGCCACTCAAGTTCTAGTCCAAGTCTAGCATAACTTGTAACCACTCTCTCATAGATCAGGCAGCCAAGAAAGATGTATGCTCATTAATCTTCACCTAACCTACGTTAACTATGATTTCCTTTTGTTATTCACTGTTTATATCGAGCTCACTAACTCAACTAATGTAACTAAACAAAATGAACATGCTATGTATATGCCTCCATAATTTATCCCAGCGGTTACCTAATTAGCAAGAAGCACTAAAAATGTGACCGTGTATCTCTTAACACATATTTTGCAGACTAGCACACTAGCGCTCAGACAACTCACTCTCTACACGCATATCACACAACCAGCGAACATAGCTCACGAGAGTAACATCTGCTATCAGCTACTGCTACACACATCACCACGTGAATTGCTAACCTTCACAATGTTAATATGCTATTATTTCATTCTCTATCATCACACATTGTGCTATACATGTTCACCCTAATCAAGGAGTAGAACAGACAGCAATGTTGATAGCTAGCATATACCACTAAGTGCAATCTGCCTTGCCATGTTATAACCACGTACTCCACAGTGACATGTCATATTTGTTCATCCTGATTACTTACTTAAAAATGTGCAATGCTTTTAATGCCATAATGATATTTTCTTATGTATACAGTCCAGTTTGCTCCAGCTGTTGTGGCACAGCAAACGTGCTTGTTATCCATATGCACAAACAAAATAAAGAATTTAAAAAAAAATATAGCACGTGTTTATACCCACCTGCATATTGCTGTGTTGTACACGTGAATTTATGGTTGAGAGAAACACTACACAAGTCGAAACATTGACTTTGGGGGAATGGGAAGGGGAGGGGGAGGTGGGGGGTGAGCTCAATAAACCAAAATCCGAGTCACAAGGTTTATTAACTAAACAGAAAGGTGGAATTCAAAACTGACTTGTAAAATATAAGTGAAGATAGCCGATTTCAATTCACTACAATTCACCGTTTAGTAAAAAGTAAAGTTTCAAAACTCCTTCATGTAACAACAGATCATTTAGCAGCTGAACAGGTTCAGTGGCCACAATAGTCTAATGGGGCTGATAACGCTGCCTGGATGCCGGCTACTGGAGCGCGCAGGTAGCTGGTGATATCAGACAATGAACATCGAGGACCAGGTAGATATGAATAGGCATCTTATATGAGTTAATTTAGAAAATACTGCCATCTACTGGACAGGTTTCATTAGAAGATATAGCTGTAACCCATCAAAAACTAGTCACTGGGGAAGAGTCACTTTTTGGAATTAGGTTTACTCTTATGTAGAAATCAAGAAATAGATTTAAAAGTAGCACAGTTTGCTCAGTGAACTGCAGTAAAGTAAAAACTGAATGGCAAAGTTCAGGCTAATATAGACACTCTGTAGCTATAGCCGGTGCAAGGATTTTTGGCTACACAGGCTGAGATGCACTTGGGAGAGGGGGGCAGGGGCTGCAGAAGGGGTGACAAGTGCTGTGGTGGGGACTTAAAAAAACATTTAGATATCATTTAAAAAAAAATAATCTAATGTGTATCCCCCCTCCGTGAGGCTTTTACCTTGGGCCAGGGAGAGGGAATCCTTATCCATGGTGGTCTGGTGGGCCAGGGAGAGGGAAGCCTTATCCATGGTGGTCCGGTGGGCCACGGAGAGGGAAGTCTTATCCATGGTGGTCCGGTGGGCCAGGGAGAGGGAAGCCTTATCCGGTGGGCCAGGAAGATGGAAGCCTTATCCATGGTGGTCCGGTGGGCCAGGGAGAGGAAAGTCTTATCCGGTGGGCCAGGAAGAGGGAAGCCTTATCCATGGTGGTCTGGTGGGCCAGGGAGAGGGAAGCCTTATCCGGTGGGCCAGGAAGAGGGAAGCCTTATCCATGATTGTCCGGTGGGCCAGGGAGAGGGAAGCATTATCCGGTGGGCCAGGAAGAAGGAAGCCTTATCCATGGTGGTTCGGTGGGCCAGGGAGAGGGAAGCCTTATCCATGGTGGTCCGGTGGGCCAGGGAGAGGGAAGCCTTATCCATGGTGGTCCGGTGGGCCAGGGAGAGGGAAGCCTTATCCAGTGGGCTAGGAAGAGGGAAGCCTTATCCATGGTGGTCCGGTGGGCCAGAGAGAGGGAAGCCTTATTCATGGCGGTCCGGTGGGCCAGGTAGTGGGAAGACTTATCCATGGTGGTCCGGTGGGCCAGGGAGAGGGAAGCCTTATCCGGTGGGCCAGGAAGAGGGAAGCCTTATCCATGGTGGTCAGGTGGGCCAGGGAGAGGGAAGCCTTATCCATGGTGGTCCGGTGGGCCAGGGAGAGGGTAGCCTTATCCCGTGGGCCAGGAAGAGAGAAGCCTTATCCATGGTGGTCCGGTGGGCCAGGAAGAGGGAAGCCTTATCCATGGTGGTCCAGCGGGCCAGGGAGAGGGAAGCCTTATCCATGGAAGTCCGGTGGTCCAGGGAGAGGGAAGCCTTATCCATGGTGGTCCGGTGGGCCAGGAGCCTGCGGCCAGCACACAGAATCCAGTAATGTCAGCCAGGAAGAGGGCGTGACTTTCTTTGCTCTTATCCCAGACTCCCCAGCGGACCTAAAGAGTCTGTGAAGAGCAGTGGGAGTCACACCCTCCTTCTGACATCATCAGAAGAGCCTGGCCAACTTCAATAGCAATCTGCTGAGTGCTGGCTGCAGGGAGAGTCAGATGAGTTGAAAGATTTGCGTCCCTAGCCAAAGGCAGGGGTTCTGCTTTTTGTGTCACCTGATCTGGCGGCCGTCTGTGCCACATTATGGACGCGCCGGCCCTGGCTATAGCGATTTCTTCTGATTCAGCTCTTTCTGACTATATATCGATTCATCTTTCAGTTCACTATCATGGCTCTTTAGGGAAGAAACCCTTGGTGATACCGCTGGTCATTTGGTGGAAACGCTATCTGTCATTGCTGGCTCACTTTAACAGACAACAACTCCCATTGAATTAAATACAGGATTGATCACAATGTGTTTGAATTGGGAGCTGATATCTTGTTACTTACCTGCAGCTCTTTCCTCCAGTGACATGCTGTGTTCAGTGCGCCCCATAATTGAAGATTATGCTAGCGGTAGTGTACTTATAATCTTAATTTTAATAATGACAGGAGGTGAGTATTTTGCATTAAACTCTCTTTACTAACTCCACTTAGCAGTAAAGAAAAGTGAAAACATTAACCAATCAAAAATGCAGTAGGAGGTATAGTATTCACAGTGATGAGGCTCCTCCCCCTCTTTCGAAAGCGACATCAAATACAAATTTCCAAAGGGTCCAAAGTCTTGTAACATGCACTAACGGGTGACTTTCCAAAACACGAAGTTCTAGTGGCTGAAGGACGGTCCAAACATGTCCATCCTGAGCGTGAGCTGTAATGTCTCGAAGTTACGCTGAAAAAGAACGTGGAAAAGGTTAGGTACTGATCTGACAACTGTTTGCAGTAATGTAATAGACCCAACACAATTTCCACCGAAATGTCGTAAAACTAATATCAGTATTGACAATAAACGATAACAATGTCATAAATAAACAAGGTACAAACATGATCTCATACAGGGTGAGTAGGAAGATAGTGGAAGGAAGGAATATCCAGAGCATGGGTATACTTACGTGAATCCTTATCCCTCGAGGGTGTGGAGGGTGGGAAAATACTCGCCTCCTGTCATTATTAAAATTAAGATTATAAGTACACTAACGCTAGCATAATCTTCAATTTTACCACATGACAGGAGGCTTCATATTTTGCTTTTATTTTGCTGATGAAGGAGAGACGTGGCTGCCCCCTAGTTCGGGCGGAAGTAGAAGGTCCGAAAGGTCGATTCTCGTGACCAATCTGCGGCCCGTAGGATGTCTGCCAGCGACGCGCCCGCGGCGAAAGCCGATGAAGCTGCCGCTGCGTGGACGGAGTGAGCTCCAAAGGTCTCTTCCACACCTGCCAGAGAGAGGATCCATCTTACCCATCTGGCGAGGGTGGTAGTAGAGACGGGTACATGGGGTCTAACGTAGGACACCAAGAGTTGGCCACAAGAAGAGACCCGCAGTAAGGATGTGACCTCCACGTACCGACGCAGAGTACACACCATGCAAACAAGCAGTTCTGTAGGGAAAAAGGGGTAGAAGACCGACAAGGAGTCGGATTTCGTACGACGTGAAACTTGGAAGGTAACTCCCTCTGGGGAGACCGAAAAAGCGTTGATGTCGAATGCCCGTATGTCCGATACTCGGCAGAACGAGATCAAGCAAAGCAGGAGCCTCAGTTTGGCCGATAGCTGTCGGAGTGAGAATCTGTTGTTTTCTGGCCAGTCCCTCAGGAACTGTAGGACGACTTCAACGTCCCATAACCGGGAGTATTTAGGTCTCGGAGGCCTCTGTAGTCTGATGCCCCTTAGGAGACGGCATACCAATGGGTCTTTCCCGACGGGTATCCCCTGAGCCGGCACGTGGGCCGCCGAAATCGCGGAGCGCACGACGTTGAGGGATCGGTAAGACCGGCCCGTGGAAAAGAGATAGGAGAGAAAATTCAAGATGGTTGTTATAGGTGTAGTAAAGGGATCGAGGTTCCGCTCACTGCACCAAGCGGACCAGGAATTCCATGCTGATAGGTAACATCGTCTGGTTCCTGGTGCCCACGAATCCCATATGAGGTCTCGAGATGTTTGCAATAGATCTCTGGTTTGCCAGGCGCCCCTGAAAGAGTCCAAGCCACTAGCGTGAGGCGGTCTTCCAGGATGAGAGGGTGAGGGTTCCCTCTTGGGTCTGTGAGTAGCGTCAGGTAGGACAGTATGAGGAGAGGATCCCTGTAGGATGATGCTAGAAGATCCGGGAACCATGGTTGGCCCTGCCATAGGGGTGTGATGAGGAGCAGAGATCCGCGTTGAGTCTTCAAGTACTGTATCGTCCTCGCTACCATGGTGAATGGGGGAAAGGCGTACACACCCAAGGGCGGCCATGGTTGGAGAAACGCATCTACTGCTTTGCTCTCCGGGTCTGGTAGCCAGCTGAAGTACTCGTCTGTCTGCCTGTTGTTGCGTGATGCGAAGAGATCCAGGTGGAGGGGACCCTTCCTGGCCGAGAGGCGGTGGAAGATCATTGGGTCCAGTCTCCAGTCGCTGCTGTCCCGCTAGTGGCGTGAGAACCAGTCTGCTGTCAGGTTCGTTTCTCCCAGGAGATATTCTGCTATGAGGGAGATTTTCCGGGGTAGGCAAAATTTTCCTTCGTAATCTCTGAGAGGAGTCTGGATCGGGCCCTTCCCAGTTGATTGATGTAGCGGACCGCTGAGATGTTGTCCATCCGGAGGAGGATGCAGCAATCCGTCCGGTCCCTCGCTAGGCTGCGGATCGCGAACGACCCCGCTAGGAGTTCTAGGCAGTTTATGTGAAGGTTGATTTCTTGGGAAGTCCAAGTGCCTCCTGTCGATCTGCCCTCGCCTGTGGCGCCCCAGCCCCAGAGGCTGGCGTCCGATTCCAGGACTATGTCGGGCGTGTTCCCGAAGATGGCTCGGCCATTCCAAGCTTCCATGCTGTCCAACCACCATCCGAGTTCTTCCCTGACTTCCTCCGTTACCGGAATGGTTTGGTCGTAGGAAGGGTTCTGGCGGAGAAAGGAGGCCTTCAGGCGTTGCATCGCCCTGTAGTGGAGTGGACCTGGGAAGATTGCCTGGATAGATGCGGACAGCAAGCCCACGATCCGAGCCAGGTTGCGGAGTGGAATGGTGCGGCAGCGGATGACTCTGCGTAATTCCTTTTTGATAGCTGTGATCTTTGAGGTCGGAAGCCGTAAGGTGCTGGTCTTGGAGTCTATCTCGAAGCCCAGGAATTGTACCCTCTGGGCTGGGGATATTTCCGACTTTTGGTAGTTCACCACGAAGCCTAGGGACGTCAGGAACTGTGTGGTATATCGTGTGTGTTGCGTTAGACTGTACCTGTCTGAGGAAAACAGTAGCAGGTCGTCCAGGTAGGTAATGCACCGAATTCCTTGAGTTTGTAGTCGTGACACTACTGGCTTCAGCAATTTGGTGAAGCACCACGGTGCTGAGCTGAGGCCGAAGGGGAGGCATGTGAACTACCAGGGTTGGTTTTGCCATAGGAATCTGAGGAATTGGCGGCAAGATGTATGGACGGGAACCGACAGGTAAGCGTCCTTGAGGTCCAGCCTCGTGAACCAGTCCCCTTCTTGGAGGAGATCTCTCAGAAGGTGAATGCCTTCCATCTTGAAGTGCCTGTACATTACAAAAGCGTTGAGCCTCCTCAGGTTTATAACCGGACGGAATTCTCCGGATTTCTTTTTTACTAGGAAAATGTTGCTGAAGAAACCCTTTCTGTCGTGAGCAGGTTCTATCGCTCCTTTCGCCTTGAGCTCCTGTAGTTCGCCGTCGATTAGGCGCGGTCCTCCTCGGAGCACTGAATGGGGTGCGGAGGGGCGGTCTGGTATGGTAATACAGTAGTTTGGTGAAGCACCACGGTGCTGAGCTGAGGCCGAAGGGGAGGCATGTGAACTGCCAGGGTTGGTTTTGCCATAGGAATCTGAGGAATTGGCAGCAAGATGTATGGACGGGAACCGACAGGTAAGCGTCCTTGAGGTCCAGCCTCGTGAACCAGTCCCCGTCTTGGAGGAGATCTCTCAGAAGGTGAATGCCTTCCATCTTGAAGTGCCTGTACATTACAAAAGCGTTGAGCCTCCTCAGGTTTATAACCGGACGGAATTCTCCGGATTTATTTTTTTACTAGGAAAATGTTGCTGAAGAAACCCTTTCTGTCGTGAGCAGGTTCTATCGCTCCTTTCGCCTTGAGCTCCTGTAGTTCGCCATCGATTAGGCGCGGTCCTCCTCGGAGCACTGAATGGGGTGCGGAGGGGCGGTCTGGTACGAAATCGATGACGTAGCCCTGAACCGTCTGGAGGATCCATGCGTCCGTGGAGATGGCTGTCCAGTTCTGAAAAGACAGAGCGATACGACCTGCAGTATATGGGGTAAGTGGAACTTGAGACACTATATTGCTTACCTGTGGGGAAGCGTGCTCTGCCATGGTTACGAGGTCCTCTGCCTCGGTCTGCTCCTCGGGTATAGGAGAAGGGCTGCCTGAAGCCCACTTCCGGGTAGAAAGGTTGTGGTCTGTGTGACCGGGGGCCAGAGGGCCAAAATCAGCTGGCTGCTCGGCCCCTGTGGCGGCCAGCCCGTCCAAAAACACCCGGACTGGGGTAGCCCCTAAAGACTCATTTCATGGAAGTCTGAGCCTTATTGAGGGACGTAAAGATGTTAACGTGTTTGTTCAATTCTTTTAGGAAGGCTTCCCCGAACAATTTGCCCTGTGCCAGCGGTCCTAACTCCTTGGTGCCCAATTCCACCAGCTTTCCGTCAATACGGAGCAATGCTGCCTTGCGCCTCTCAGAGGAGAGGGCTACGTTGGTGTTACCAACGAAACAGAAGCACCTTTGTGCCCATTCTCTGATGTCATGCGCCCACTCTTTAACCATGCTGGTGTCAAATTGATCAGCCCTTGTGAATGCATCATCCGCCAGATACAAGATGCGGGAAAGTGGGGCCATGGAGTCCAGCAGTTTGTCCTGGACCCCGTGGAATCCTTTTTCCACAGCCCGCCGAGGGTCGCGGCCACCTCGAGACATAAAAGGTGGTCATGACCTGGTCGAACTCCGGAGTTTGAGTTACATGGTCGGGGAGCGAAGGACGTGGGCATTCGGAGCGTAGGCGAGTGCGCACTGTTTTGTCTAGTGGTTTGCGAAGCCAGCGGTGCATGAACCTGGAGAGGTGGTCAGGGGGGTCCAGTCCCCAGAGCGTGGGTGGCGGATGTTACGAGGGTCGAAGAGACGTTGTCCTGTGGGGTCTAGGATGGTATCCCCTTCTTGAGTAGGTGCGAGGTCGTCTGGCAGCTGGATGTCATCCAGGAAGGTGCCTCGTAAGAAGCCAGTACGGGAGCCGGAATCTGTGTCCCAATCGTCATCCTGCGAATCAGAGTCCGTGGCTTGCCACTCGTCCAACACGGCCATACAGCGCGTGTGTTCTTCCCCCTCATCCGAGGAGTAGTGGGCGGGGGTAGGTGGGGCTGGTTTGTGGCGTTTAGATGGTGCCTTACCCTTGCCCGGGGTATCGCTAGCTTTCTCACCTTTCCAGTGACGTTTGGTAGGGCGTGAGGCCTCATAATCCTCGTCCTGTAGTTGGGCCTGCGTGGCTTTCTTGGTTTTGTCGGTTGATGTTGACATAACCCTGGAAAGCGCTTTCTCCAAAGAGGCGGAGATGGCCTCTGCAATCATTGTCTGGAAGTCTGCAGGGGTTTGGGATGCTTCCATGGTGACTTGGGGTGCTGGCACAGGGTAGTTGGGCTAGGGGTCAGGTAGTTGTGCGGGAAGGCAAAACTGAATGGTGGTACCAGTGGCACCTGTAGAAACCACAGCAGGGTGTGAGTATGGGCACTCACTAATAACACCCCAGCAGAGTGTATGGCAATATAGGTACAAATGGTACCAGAGACCCCAGCAGGGTAAATTGGGTTTTTAGCTGGGCCTCACCCAGAAATGTATATGGAAATGAAGGTGGCACAAAATCCACATGGTCTGGTAATAAAAGGGGTTCCCCTTATCATATACACATATATAGCTGGCACAAAATCCACCTGATGGCAGCAGTGAAAAGGGCCTCACCCAGTTATAATTATTAGGTGGCACAAAATCCACCTGGTGTATAAAAGTAGTGGTCTTACCACTGAGCAGGGCCAGCAGCCTCTGTATCCGTTTAGGGAACTAACCTGTGACCCCTGCCAGAGCCTGCCTTCCTCTATGGTAGTGTACAGCAAGGTAATCTGCATGCAGTGAGAGAGCAGCTTGAAAATCAATAGATTTAGCTTGATACACCCCAGCTGGCTGGGATGTGTATAAAAGTCAGGAGACCGGTTTGCGGTCAGGAGCCGGCACTACACAGACCGCGGGTCTCCCAAAATGGCGGCCGAGAATCTCGCGAGACGCGAGATCCAAGATGGCCGCCAGGAAGCGGGTTTCCCGGCGAGACAGAATGCGGCTGGGAAGCCGCAGCGGGGTAGAGTGAGCAGGGTGAGCGTTACCCTGAGGGGTATGATGCTGGGAGGCCAGCGGCAAGGTAGAAATAAAGGAGGGAGTAGGCGGAAGGGTCCCTGAGTGCAGGGAAGGGGAGAAAGGGAAGAATCCTAGAGGGGAGCTCCCAGATGAGAATAAAATAGATATAAAATGGATATAAAAGTAGGAACCCCCAGAGGACAGGAAGGAGAAACCCCCCCCCAAAGGATAAAAGAAGGAACCAATATATATAATAAAGTAAAGTAACATATAATAGAGAATATACAGTATATAAAGGGAAGAGCCTGAAACTCTGACCTGTCTGCTGATGGAGCAGTAAAGAAAGAGGGCGAGGAGCCTCATCACTGTGAATACTATGCTGCCTATTGCATTTTTGATTGGTTAATGTTTACACTTTTCTTTACTGCTATGTGGAGTTAGTAAAGAGAGTTTAATGCAAAATATGAAGCCTCCTGTCATGTGGTAAAATTCCCCAGTGAAGGTGAGGAACGCATCCTGGGTGAGTAATAAGGAGAAGGTGGACCCCCCCAGGGGAGGGTACTCTGGCTCCCACTGTCAGTCAGATCATGGCATTCTGTACCCTCTGTACCACTGGCACACACAGCTGGTCACTTAACCATATTCTATGCATGGTCAGCTAGGCAACTTACACATTTGTTCTTTTAGGGGAGAATTTAATTAGGTAATATTTCACTTGGACTAAAAAATCACAGCATACAGATACTAGCCTGACCACTAGAAAGCTATTCCATGTATCTACTACCCTTTCTATATCACTGCTAGCCTTTACTGCTTCCACTGGGAGACTATTCCAGGTATCTACTACATTTTTTATATCACTGTTAGCCTTTACTGCTTCCACTGGGAGACTATTCCAGGTATCTACTACATTTTCTATATCACTGTTACAGCTCCCACTGGAAGGCTATTCAAGGTATCTACTACCCTTTCCATATCACTGTTACTGCTTCCACTGAAAGGCTATTCCAGGTATCTACTACATTTTCTATATCACTGCTAGCCTTTACTGCTTCCACTGGGAGACTATTCCAGGTATCTACTACATTTTCTATATCACTGTTAGCCTTTACTGCTTCCACTGGGAGACTATTCCAGGTATCTACTACATTTTCTATATCACTGTTACAGCTCCCACTGGAAGGCTATTCAAGGTATCTACTACCCTTTCCATATCACTGTTACTGCTTCCACTGAAAGGCTATTCCAGGTATCTACTACACTTTCTATATCACTGTTAGCCTTTACTGCTCCCACTGGAAGGCTATTCCAGGTATCAACTACACTTTCTATATCACTGTTAGCCTTTACTGCTTCCACTGGGAGACTATTCCAAGTATCTACTACCCTTTCTGTCACTGTTAGCCTTTACTGCTCCCACTGAAAGGCTATTCCAGGTATCTACTACCCTTTCCATATCACTGTTACTACTCCCACTGGAAGACTATTCCAGGTATCTACTACCCTTTCTATATCACTGTTACTACTCCCACTGGAAGGCTTTTCCAGGTATCTACTACCCTTTCTGTATCACTGTTAGCCTTTACTGTTAACCACTGAAAGGCTATATACTACCCTTTCTATATCACTATTAGCCTTTACTGCTCCCACTGGAAGGCCTTTCCAGGTATCTACTACCCTTTCTATATCATTGTTACTGCTCCCACTGGAAGGCTATTCCAGGTATCTACTACCTTTTCTATATCACTGTTACTGCTCCCACTGGAAGGCTATTCCAGGTACCTATTACCCTTCCTATATCACTGTTACTGCTCCCACTGGAAGGCTATTAAATGTATCTATTTAATATCTTATTGCAGGGTTTATTTCCTGTGAACATTTCTTAGTATTCCATTCAGTACCTCATTTATACCACAAGATGGAGACCTGGTACTCATGGCACAATAGAGTCTGACTCTGGAGTAGGAAAACCAACCTTTTATAGGTGAAAATCAATTCAGGCTGAGAGGCTCACACTTGCTGTACCCAGTGGTGTATTTAGGATTTGTGCTGCCCTAGGCAGGACAGTGTTCGGGTACCCCCCCACCCCCACTAATTTAAATTTTCCCCACCCCTTCCTGTCAAGGCCGCACTTTGACTAACAGACGCTCACTCACTGACAGACACACACTCACTGACAGGCGCATACACTTATTGACAGACGCATACACTCATTGACAAACACACACCATCATATACACTGACAAACAATGACATACGCACACAATATTACTTGGACACACACTGACAGACGCACGCACTCACAGACTGACACATACACACTCACTGACCGACACACACACACATTCACTCACATAGATACACATACACATTTATCCCAACACTCACAAATTCACTCACAAATGTTATTTTAAATCCATCCAGCCTCCTTAGGAAAGCTAGAGTGGATTACTTACCTGTCCAGTGTGGCTGCTGGTCGGGCAGGCAGGGGGCGGACAGGCAGAGTAGGTGGCGAGGGAGCTTTAATCTTCCTGCTCAGCTCCCTCGCGCGCCGCTTAGTGATGCCGAGAGTGACATCATATTCAAGCTCCCGGCTTCATTAAGCGGCGCGGAGGGAGCTGAGCAGGAAGAGCTCAGGTGAATATGCTCTCTCGCTGCCCACCGCCCGCCTTGGTGGGGCTCAAAAGTGGCCAGCCGGCCAGCTCTTGAGGCCCCCCAGGACACGAGGCAAGCAAGGGATCTGCCTGGGCGTTTGGGGGCAGCTTTTTTTGCCGCAGCACGAATAGGATCGGAGTTATATTCATATGAATGAGATTCCGATACAAACAAAGTCCCAAATTATGTCCTAACATGAATGAACAAACTGTTCTTCAGTAGTTTCGCCAGCGTTCTGTCTAAGTGACAGGACGTTCGGGAATACTGACAGGAAGTATTGCAAGATCACCGATCAAATGTGAGAATTGTGGGGAAATTGCTTTAATCACCAGAAACTAAGCACACTTTGCTCCTCCGCTGGTCAAAGCTGGTCAAGCGTAGGAAACCTTCATAAGACAAAGTAGTCTCTACTTTGTCTTATGTTTTAAAGAAAATTAGAGCAGACAGGAAGAAATGAAGAACAGATCCTGACAGAGGGAGAGAAGAGGAATTGATTGGGGAAAGGTAAGTTCGGCATGACAGTGCCGCTTTAATAAAATTGCACCATTACAACCAGGTTCATCCTTGTCACACATTATTAACAGATTCTACACTACCTGTCGGCTTTCCTGTATGGGAGTGTTCCCTTCATTTAAATAAAGAGACAGAATTACTATTATTGAATAAGGAACCACAGGAATAATTCAGATATACTTACATTTCAAAATCACGCACATATACCTAAAATGAATACAATATTGTGACAAATGTAAAAATTACAGTGTCACCTAATTACTAAAACTCGTCAAAGAGATCACTAAAACATTGTGAGCACGGACCAGAGTTTTCTCCACCCACAGCGTTTAGAGTGATCTGAACGATAAACAGTATCACAAGTTTTTGTAAGATTTTGTAATTCTTCCAGTATATTCTATGTACACAAGCGAATACTGTCCGCCAAAAAGAGTTATTCTATAATTCTGCCTAATGACAAGTAATAGATGCCGGCACACAACAACATTCAGAAAATTAACCCAAAGCACACAAGAGTAAACTGCACATAAAAAAAGGTTTACTCATATAGTAAAATAATAAAAGTCATACAAACAAAGTGCAATGAACAGTACAGGCATGTAAACAATTGATACCATACCCATAACCACATCAGATATAATAGTAAGGAAGGATTTCCTGAATATTATCAAGGGTATATAAATAGGAACCAAAACCAGTCTGTTAGAGATCCCCCTGAGGAAGGCTAGACGCTGAAACGTTGGGCTTTATTATATGATATGATGCTCTAAGTCAGTATGCCTGTGATCAGGGCCGGTGCAAGGATTTCTACCGCCCTAGGCAAAGTTAAATTTTGTCGCCCCTTCATGTCACTCACTCACTGACAGACACACACTGGCAGACACACACACTCACTGACAGACACACACTCACTGACAGACATACACTAAATCACCGACACACACACAGAAACTCACTGACAGACATACACCCACTCACTGACAGACATACACTCACTGACAGACATACAGACAAACACTCATTGACACATACACTCACTGACATACATACACTCACTCACTGACACACACACACAGACATTCACAGACAAACACACAGACACACTCACTGACAGACATACACTCACTGACAGACATACACTCACTCACTGACACACACACACAGACATTCACAGACAGACACACTCACTGACAGACATACACTCACTGACAGACATACATGCACTTGGTGACACACACACACAGACACTCACTGACAGACATACAGACACACACTCATTGACACATACACTCACTGACAGATACACTCACTGACAGACATACACTCACTGACACACACACAGACAGACACACAGACACACTCACTGACAGACATACACTCACTGACAGACATACATGCACTTACTGACAAACACACACACAGACACTCACTGGCGCCTGGATCGACCTGGCGCTGCGGCCCAGGACAGGGGGAACCCACTAGGAAATATCCTGGTGGGCGCCCCCAGCAAGCTGGCGCCCTAGGCGAATGCCTATTTCGCCTAACGGTTACGCCGGCCCTGCCTGTGATACTATGGGTTTATAGGTTTCAATTTTGAGCACTGACTATTTTATCTGATGGGGTTATGGGTACGTTATAAATTGTTTACATACCTCTACTATTCATTGTTTTGTTGTTTCTTTTATTAATTCACTACAGGGAGTGCAGAATTATTAGGCAAATGAGTATTTTGACCACATCATCCTCTTTATGCATGTTGTCTTACTCCAAGCTGTATAGGCTCGAAAGCCTACTACCAATTAAGCATATTAGGTGATGTGCATCTCTGTAATGAGAAGGGGTGTGGTCTAATGACATCAACACCCTATATCAGGTGTGCATAATTATTAGGCAACTTCCTTTCCTTTGGCAAAATGGGTCAAAAGAAGGACTTGACAGGCTCAGAAAAGTCAAAAATAGTGAGATATCTTGCAGAGGGATGCAGCACTCTTAAAATTGCAAAGCTTCTGAAGCGTGATCATCGAACAATCAAGCGTTTCATTCAAAATAGTCAACAGGGTCACAAGAAGCGTGTGGAAAAACCAAGGCGCAAAATAACTGCCCATGAACTGAGAAAAGTCAAGCGTGCAGCTGCCACGATGCCACTTGCCACCAGTTTGGCCATATTTCAGAGTTGCAACATCACTGGAGTACCCAAAAGCACAAGGTGTGCAATACTCAGAGACATGGCCAAGGTAAGAAAGGCTGAAAGACGACCACCACTGAACAAGACACACAAGCTGAAACGTCAAGACTGGGCCAAGAAATATCTCAAGACTGATTTTTCTAAGGTTTTATGGACTGATGAAATGAGAGTGAGTCTTGATGGGCCAGATGGATGGGCCCGTGGCTGGATTGGTAAAGGGCAGAGAGCTCCAGTCCGACTCAGACGCCAGCAAGGTGGAGGTGGAGTACTGGTTTGGGCTGGTATCATCAAAGATGAGCTTGTGGGGCCTTTTCGGGTTGAGGATGGAGTCAAGCTCAACTCCCAGTCCTACTGCCAGTTCCTGGAAGACACCTTCTTCAAGCAGTGGTACAGGAAGAAGTCTGCATCCTTCAAGAAAAACATGATTTTCATGCAGGACAATGCTCCATCACACGCGTCCAAGTACTCCACAGCGTGGCTGGCAAGAAAGGGTATAAAAGAAGAAAATCTAATGACATGGCCTCCTTGTTCACCTGATCTGAACCCCATTGAGAACCTGTGGTCCATCATCAAATGTGAGATTTACAAGGAGGGAAAACAGTACACCTCTCTGAACAGTGTCTGGGAGGCTGTGGTTGCTGCTGCACGCAATGTTGATGGTGAACAGATCAAAACACTGACAGAATCCATGGATGGCAGGCTTTTGAGTGTCCTTGCAAAGAAAGGTGGCTATATTGGTCACTGATTTGTTTTTGTTTTGTTTTTGAATGTCAGAAATGTATATTTGTGAATGTTGAGATGTTATATTGGTTTCACTGGTAATAATAAATAATTGAAATGGGTATATATTTGTTTTTTGTTAAGTTGCCTAATAATTATGCACAGTAATAGTCACCTGCACACACAGATATCCCCCTAACATAGCTAAAACTAAAAACAAACTAAAAACTACTTCCAAAAATATTCAGCTTTGATATTAATGAGTTTTTTGGGTTCATTGAGAACATGGTTGTTGTTCAATAATAAAATTAATCCTCAAAAATACAACTTGCCTAATAATTCTGCACTCCCTGTATATGAATAAAAATCTTTTTATGTGCAATTTATACAGGTGTGCTCTGGATTTATTTTCTACTATGTCTATGGATCTGGCGAGGGAACAGGTTTTCCCACAAAACATCAAGAACCTTTCAACCGCACTATTTTGACTTGGGGTGCCTTGGAAAAATATTTAAATATTAAGGGCGCCTTGAACCTAAAAAGTTTGGGAACCACTGGTCTATAAATTAAAACGTCACCTTTCTAATTTAATTAAAAATTCAAAAGATATGAAATAACCTAATACCAATAAGAAAAAACACTCACTAACACATGTCTAAGTATTCTATTAAAGGGACACTATAGACACCTGAACCACTTTAGCTTAATGAAGCAGTTTTGGTGTATAGAACATGCCCCTGCAGCCTCACTGCTCAATCCTCTGCCATTTAGGAGTTAAATCCCTTTGTTTATGAACCCTAGTCACACCTCCCTGCATGTGACTTGCACAGCCTTCCATAAACACTTCCTGTAAAAAGAGCCCTATTTAGGCTTTCTTTATTGCAAGTTCTGTTTCATTAAGATTTTCTTATACCCTGCTATGTGAATAGCTTGCTAGACCCTGCAAGAGCCTCCTGTATGTGATTAAAGTTCAATTTAGAGATTGAGATACAATTATTTAAGGTAAATTAAATCTGTTTCAAAGTGAAACCAGTTTTGTTTTTTTCATGCAGGCTCTGTCAATCATAGCCAGGGGAGGTGTGGCTAGGGCTGCATAAACAGAACAAAGTGATTTAACTCCTACATGACAGTGAATTGAGCAGTGAAATTGCAGGGGAATGATCTATACACTAAAACTGCTTTATTTAGCTAAAGTAATTTAGGTGACTATAGTGTTCCTTTAATGTTTTTTCTTATTGGTATTAGGTTACTTCATATCTATTGAATTTTTAAGGTGAAGTTTTAACGTATTAACATTTCCATAGCCTCTACATTACACTCCTACACTTTCTGTGCTTTGCTTAGTTAAAATGAGGGTTAACCCCTTGTGGAGTGTTTACAAATCAAGCTATTTTCTATTTATCTTATGTAAAGATTTGTACTGTGCAATTTACTCCCTAAAATAAGTGAGAAGTGAAAAATGGAAATCTAGATTTTAGGCGATAACGAACAGAAATGGAACAATTATCCATCGAAGAGCTGGACCGAGTGCCTCTATTTGGGTTTTAAAAAAGAAATGTATCTATGGGGATATCTGACAATGGGAGACCGTTTTCAATAAATTCCTAAACTAAATGACATATCTCCATTTTCAGTTTATCTATTTATTTTCATTTATAACACAGTACTACAGTGTCTGATGGCTGGCAAAGGGAAATCCTATATTTCCTAATATATGCAAATCTAACCTTATTTACTGTATAATTAGATCGCCACCCAATGTTATGGTAAATGTCTAATTTCCGAAAATCACTTTCTTAAGGGAATATCTACTTCGGAAATCAGGCAGGTCAACACCTACAGACAGGTAGAAGCAGTTCTCAGAAAACTTTTATTGTTTTTTTTTAAAGGGTGTTACTTCCTCCACCCCACACACCGTCAGGCGGTTCCCAAAGAGGAAGCATACCTCCACACGCACTGTGTATAAAAATCCAAATCTCTAAATAGGGAGCACAAGACTGGAACAAGACACAGATCTCTTAATGCAGACAAAGGTGAGTCCGAATCGCATCCATTATTTATTCCATTATTCTACCATTACACTAATCTGTTACTGATAGTCGTCAGTGGAAAACTGGATTGAAGATGGAGCAAAGTACGAAATTAGGAGAAATGAGCTGACACGTTCAATTGGCTGCCATGGTCATTTCTACAGCTGAGAATTGCACAAGGTTTGACATTATAAATATATGATAAAAATATAAACAAACATGTCTTCTAGTGGGTCAAAGAATCAGCATGTTTCAAAGAACATATTAATCAATTTAAAATGGAAATCATTGCTTTGTAAATCTGCAAAAATGAAAGCAAATCGAAGGCAAATATACTGAACATGGAGCGATCCAACGTTTGTGGGGTCTCTATGGTGTCAGCTGATTGCATACACTTTGCACTTTACTCTGTCATTGCTCCGTTTATTACTGCTAAGTATGTTCCTATATGGGGGATGTAGCACACTAACAAAAATGTTCATTCACAAAAATTGTGGAACGAAAAAATGACTGGCTGAAAAAATGCCTATTCTGACATTTGGCATACAATTTGTAATCCCTTGTCAGTACTCCACAATTTCCTACAGAGAGATGGAAAAAGGAAAAGAAATGAACTGGATGCATTTAAATAGCAACTTTCCGTTTCATCCAAAATGTTTCTCACTTTTACCTCTATCTATTCAAACCCTTACAATTCTGCAGAAAGAAAAAAACTTTTGGCGTAGTTGGGACCTCAGCAAGTCATTGTACATCTTTTCTACATGTCAGTGTTTTTTATATTAGAGCCTGGCGTTACACTATACAGAGTCTGTTATTTAATATTAGAGCCTGGCGTTACACTATACAGAGTCTGTTATTTTATATTAGAGCCTGGCGTTACACTATACAGAGTCTGTTTTTTAATATTAGAGCCTGGCGTTACACTATACAGAGTCTGTTTTTTAATATTAGAGCCTGGCGTTACACTATACAGAGTCTGTTATTTTATATTAGAGCCTGGCGTTACACTATACAGAGTCTGTTATTTAATATTAGAGCCTGGCGTTACACTATACAGAGTCTGTTATTTAATATTAGAGCCTGGCGTTACACTATACAGAGTCTGTTATTTTATATTAGAGCCTGGCGTTACACTATACAGAGTCTGTTATTTTATATTAGAGCCTGGCGTTACACTATACATAGTCTGTTATTTTATATTAGAGCCTGGCGTTACACTATACAGAGTCTGTTTTTTAATATTAGAGCCTGGCGTTACACTATACAGAGTCTGTTATTTAATATTAGAGCCTGGCGTTACACTATACAGAGTCTGTTATTTAATATTAGAGCCTGGCGTTACACTATACAGAGTCTGTTATTTTAATATTAGAGCCTGGCGTTACACTATACAGAGTCTGTTATTTTATATTAGAGCCTGGTGTTACACTATACAGAGTCTGTTATTTAATATTACAGCCTGGCGTTACACTACACAGAGTCTGTTATTTAATATTAGAGCCTGGCGTTACACTATACAGAGTCTGTTATTTTATATTAGAGCCTGGCGTTACACTATACAGAGTCTGTTATTTTATATTAGAGCCTGGCGTTACACTATACAGAGTCTGTTTTTTAATATTAGAGCCTGGCGTTACACTATACAGAGTCTGTTATTTAATATTAGAGCCTGGCGTTACACTATACAGAGTCTGTTATTTAATATTAGAGCCTGGCGTTACACTATACAGAGTCTGTTTTTTAATATTAGAGCCTGGCGTTACACTATACAGAGTCTGTTATTTTATATTAGAGCCTGGCATTACACTATACAGAGTCTGTTATTTTATATTAGAGCCTGGCGTTACACTATACAGAGTCTGTTTTTTAATATTAGAGCCTGGCGTTACACTATACAGAGTCTGTTATTTAATATTAGAGCCTGGTGTTACACTATACAGAGTCTGTTATTTTATATTAGAGCCTGGCGTTACACTATACAGAGTCTGTTATTTTATATTAGAGCCTGGCGTTACACTATACAGAGTCTGTTATTTAATATTAGAGCCTGGCGTTATACTATACAGAGTCTGTTATTTAATATTAGAGCCTGGTGTTACACTATACAGAGATTGATCGCCAGGGTCATTCTATTGATTTCCAATAATCAATCACATTTCGATATTTCTCCCACACAGCCTGAGCACAGCAGCTTACAGGATAAAGACGTTTATTTCCAGTAAAAATCAGATGAGATTGGCGTGTGTTAAATACATCCCATAAATCGCAGCTCAGGGGATCATCAGAGAAATTAAATCCTGCAAAAGCAGTTAATTACTCTGACATACATTTAACACACGGTATTATCTGTGACTTAGAAGGTTATTTACTAAAAGCAGAATTGTTGGAAATTCTAAGTAAATTTTAAATTTAAGTCTAAAATAGCACAACTAGAGCTGAGGATTTTCTTTCAGTTTGGGTATTTTGGCCTCAAATTTGAAATTTTCTTTGTATTCCTAAGAATTCTCCTATTAGTAAATAACCCAGTTAGTGTCAGAGGCATCACATTTCAAAATAAATAACAACATTTCAGTAGAAGTGACAATATAAAATAATGAATCTTTAACATAGTAATCGTATGAAATAATTATCCGTTAACGTAATGATAATGGCTTAAAACAGGTAACCACATGCTGCTAGCCAGGCCGTAAACATTACTTATCACTGCAAGCCGCCGTGTACAAAAATCAGGGGTGAATTTCTACTGGCCGCGGCTGTATTTTCACTTGCCAATGGCTAGTGCTGAGACTGAGTACATTCTAAATTGTAAATCACAACTGTTTCTTGTCCCCCCATGCTTGCCACTCCTAGCAGTAAATACCTTGATATAATTGTTTATCTCTACTCCCTCCCTATGCCCATTTCCCATACCATCCCTACTGCAAGCCTCTACAATTCTACTCGGCTCAACCCGCCCTCCCAGGTTCCCCCTAAATTTATAGCATGCTCCTCTAGCTGTTTAAAATTATCACTCACTTACCTCTTCATTCCCTTTATATTCTACCAATATCTGCAACTCTCTGTTTCCTTATTTAGCCACCACTTCCAAATTTTCCCTGCTACCTCTTGTCTCAAATCCCCACGGTATCCCAGTATCCTTTAGATTGTAAGCTCACGGGCTATCTACCTATGCACTTTGTATAAAAGAGCTTAAATGGCTAGATCTCATTTTACGGGCAGGGCCCTCTCTACCTTTTGTATTTGTGTGTGTATATTGTATGTTCTCCACTTATTGTACAGCGCTGCGGAATCTGTTGGCACTTTATAAATACCAGTAATAAATAAAATAAATAAAGCTCCTTTAATAAGGGCTCTGATTCCATTGGAATTGCAGGTGACTATTGGGCTAGAAAAGCCTGCGCTGCCAGTATTGGGCTGAGATGCCTGGGTATGCCTGAGTGTGCCAGGGTGTGCCAGTACCATCCTCTGAGAGAGAAAGAGAGAGAGAGATGGATGTATGTATGGATGGATGGATAGATAGATAATGTAGCGATAGATAGATATATAGAGAGAGATAGATAGAGATAGATAACGTATCGATAGATAGATACTGTATACATATAGAGAGACAGATAGATAGCGAGAAAGACAGATAGAGAGAAAGAGAGAGAAAGATAGAGAGAGATGGATGGATGGATGGATAGATAGATAGATATAGAGAGAGATATAGATGGATGGATGGATAGATAGAGATAGATAGATAACGTATCGATAGATAGATACTGCATATATAGAGAGAGATAGATAGATAGCGAGAAAGACAGATAGAGAGAAAGAGAGAGAAAGATAGAGAGAGAAAGATGGATGGATGGATAGATAGATAGATATAGAGAGAGATATAGATGGATGGATGGATAGATAGAGATAGATAGATACTGTATATATAGAGAGAGACAGATAGATAGATAGCGAGAAAGACAGATGGAGAGAAAGAAAGAGAAAGATAGAGAGATATGGATGGATGGATAGATAGATATATATAGAGATATAGATGGATGGATGGATAGATAGAGATAGATAGATAACGTATCGATAGATAGATAGATACTGCATATATATATAGAGAGAGAGATAGATAGATAGCGAGAAAGGTAGATAGAGAGAAAGAGAGAGATAGATAGATAGATAGAGAGAGAGAGAGATATGGATGGATAGATAGAGATAGACAGATATAGAGAAAGATATAGATGGATGGATGGATAGATAGATAGATAGAAAACGTATCGATAGATAGATAGATACTTTATATATAGAGAGAGACAGACAGACAAATACTGTATAGCAATAGACTGACAGATTTTTAAGGTACTTTATTTGGATAATGTTTAGTCCTTCTTTGGCCTTTGTTTTACCTCCAGGTCGCTGACATCGTCCCCAAAATGAATGACAAACGGAAAACATGTATATGGTCTCTGGTCGTCCTTACACTCTTGGCGATTATTGTAGTTGGCGCAACTTTAGTTGGTGTTTACATGACTCAGAAACACACAGAAGCCGTGAGTTTTCCGAATTAATAACTGTATCTTTAATATGCTTTTCTAGAAAGGAATAAATAAATACTAGCAGCGAGGGACTCTTTAACAAAGAGAGATGTTACGATATAGGCCTCCATTTAATATTTTTGGATAAACGTGTAAAATTATAAAAAATACATCAATATTGTAAAAAAATATAATAAATATTAGACAGTGGCCATGATTGGATATGATTTTAGGTGAAATGAAAGGAAAACAAGATTTTGCTGGTATTGTTTCATAGCTCGTTAACGTGATGAATAAATTAGTGTAATTTACAAGGTGTGATTTATAGTATGTAGTAAGAGAGGATTCAATGCACGCAATGAATAGAGTTAGAACTAAATGTCTGTTAATAACATTTCCTGGGAGCTTTCTATATAATGAGATACCGGAGCGGAAACTCACCGGTTACTGAGCGGAGACTCATTGGTTACTGAACGCAAATCACCACTAACAGAGACTCACCGGTTACTGAGCGGAGACTCATTGGTTACTGAACGCAAATCACCACTAACAGAGACTCACCGGTTACTGAGCGGAGACTCACCGGTTACTAAGCGCAACTCATCGTTTACTCAGCGGGATTTTAAAGGAGGTTATTACCCAGACATCAATAAACTCACACTGTGCACAGTACTAAACTTGTGCAGCCACTTACTTGTACAGGTCCCAATGCGAAGACCAGACTTGTAACACTAACTGGTCACTGCACTAAAATACTGAAATTCCACCCCAAAAAAGCTTATTCACTAAACTGAGAATTTTAGAGAAATGCAAATAGAATTGGAATTTTAACACCAAATTCTTCTAGCTGGATTTAATGAATGACTTCTCTTCTCTGGAAAGTTTGGTCTGGGGGAGTTTGTCCGGTGCAGCCAGTATGGCCAGCACATTGTTCTTGCCAGTCTTGTTATTGGCCTTCACTGTAATATCAGAGTTTGTCCAGTGACTGCCTATTGACGATGCTAAGGCCCACTCGCTCTGTGCTCCGCAGGTGGTAGAGATGGCTTTTAACGCCAAGAGTGGAGAAAGAGTGCATCAGAGAGTGATGGTCAACGATCTGGAGAAGATTGCAGCCTTTTACGTGACGTCCAACAACATTTCATCAACTATTCTATATGACTATAACCATGTAAGTACCGGGTATGTTGCTGTGGGGCCCTGTGTCAGTCTGTCTAGTGAGGACCCGTGCCAGTCTGTCTAATGAGGTCCCCATGTTAGTCTGTCCAGTGAGGGCCCTTATGTCAGCCAGTCTAGTGAGGGCCCCATGTCAGTCAGTCTAGTGAGGGCCCCGTGTCAGTCTGTCTAGTGAGGTCCCCGTGCCAGTCTGTCTAGTGAGGCCCCAGTGTCAGCCATACTAGTGAGGGCCTTGTGTCAGTCTGTCTAGTGAGGGCCCTGTGTCAGTCTGTCTAGTGAGGGTCCAGAACCAGTGTCAGTCTGTCTAATGAGGGCCTAGTGTCAGTATGTCTAGTGAGGACCCTGTGTCAGTCTGTCTAGTGAGGGTCCCGTGACAGTCTGTCTAATGAGGGCCCGTGCCAGTCTGTCTAATAAGGGCCCTGTGAGGGTCCCGTGTCAGTCTGTCTAGTGAGGGCCCATGTCAGTCTGTCTAGTGAGGGCCCGTGCCAGTCTGTCTAGTGAGGACCCGTGCCAGTCTGTCTAATGAGGGCCTTGTGTCAGTCTGTCTAATGAGGGCCCTGTATCAGTCTGTCTAGTGAGGGCCCTGTGCCAGTCTGTCTAGTGAGGACCCATGCCAGTCTGTCTAATGAGGGCCACGTGTCAGCCAGTCTAGTAAGGACCCATGCCAGTCTGTCTAAGGAGGCCCCCGTGTCAGTCTGTCTAATGAGGGCCCTGTGTCAGTCTGTCTAATGAGGGCCCCGTGTCAGTCTGTCCAGTGAGGTCCTGTGTCAATCTGTCTAGTGAGGGCCCTGTGTCAGCCAGTCTAGTGAGGACCCCTGCCAGTCTGTCTAATGAGGGCCCTGTTTCAGTCTGTCTAGTGAGGACCCGTGTCATTCTGTCTAGTGAGGGCCCTGACAGTTTGACCTATTTATTTAGGAGATAAATTCTAGATAAACCCTTTACCTTGGGTTACCAGATCCACCATGTTTTCAGGGACAAATATAATTTTGCCAAATTTATGAAAATGCGTGAAAAGGGTTGCACTGACTGCACCATGTAAACGCATATTCTAGATGATTCCTAATTGCCTAATAGCCTAATCTTATACACCTTCTTCTGAAATCTACATACTACAGGGCAAACCTTTTCATGTGCTGCACATCAATCTATGTGCAAAGACATGGCAGATCTGTTAACCCTACCTTAACCCAATGTTGCAGCTCCTCACTTTGGGGCGCAGTCAGTTATACTCACAGTCTCAGCTTACTGTCCCCAGGGGTCCAGTTATACCCACAGTCTCAACATAGTGTCCCCCAGTGCTCCATAGTGTTGTGGTCCCTGATTCCTGAAGTGCTCCCTAGTGTTAAGGCCCCTGATTCCTGGGGTGCTCTCTAGCGTTGTGGTCCCTGATTCCTGGGGTGCTCCCTGGTGTTGTGGTCCCTGATTCCTGGGGTGCTGCCTAGTGTTGTGGTCCCTGCTTCCTGGGGTGCCCCCTAGTGTTAAGGCCCCTGATTCCTGGGGTGTTCCCTAGTGTTGTGGTCCCTGATTCCTGGAGTGCTCCCTAGTGTTGTGGTCCCTCATTCCTGGGGTGCTCCCTAGTGTTAAGGCCCCTGATTCTTGGGGTGCCCCCTGGTGTTGTGGCCCCTGATTCCCGGGGGCTCCCTAGTCTTGTGGCCCCTGCTTCCTGGGGTGTTCCCTAGTGTTAAGGCCCCTGATTCACAGGATGCTCCCTAGTCTTGTGGCCATTGATTCCTGGGGTGCTCCCTAGTGTTAAGGCCCCTGATTCCTGGGGTGTTCCCTAGGGATCAAGTATGGACACTCAGGGGATATTAATTTGGGATGTTATCTGTATCTTTCCATTCCAGGAAATTATCGGCTTACGGCGCATTAAAGGGGCAAAATGTTTTATTATAAACATGGATCGTGTTAACGTACCAACAATGGAGGACATTCTGCGGGGAATTAAACGATTCCAGCGGCAGGTAAGATTCTGTGTGAAATAGTCACAGTTTAACGAATACCTCATTCCAGGTGACCTATGGCGCTTCTTCCAAAACATGCAACAAGTGGAGAGGGGACCACAGTCACTGAATGGGCCGAGTGTCTCTTTAATGGATGTAAATTAATACATTGGGAATATTAAGATATATATCAACTAAGATAATTAATGATAATGAGTTGTTTTCCTGATAATGATCTTCAGGTAATAACTAGCGAAAAATATCCGGTTATGACGTTACCCAATAAATCAGGAATAATTGTCTTGATTGTGTAAATAAAAAAATAAGACAAAGCATTAAATCATAATCTGCAAAATATGTTGATACCTTTATAAATAAATATTAAATAGACTATGGATAGTTCATATTTATAATGTTTTCATATTTATCAGTAACACTGTCCTGGAATATGTGAAAGACCTGTTGTAAGATTGCTACCGTGCAGATATTTAAAGAAGGTATCTGGTGGCTAGTGTTTGGCCCTAAAGGATTACTGGTTACTGACATGTTAAGGTTACAATATGACATCACACCTTAACCCATGATGTCTTTCTTCTGAGGATTACCTGTCCCACTTGGGAAGGGCTGTGACAGAGCTCCCTGTACCCCGGCCGGGTACCTCCGCCAAGGGTCCCCTTCCTAGCTGCGGCTGGATACGGGAACTAGCTCTGCCCACTCCCAGGTACTGGACGGCACACAGTCCTGGGAAGTCCAGAAGTCCTTACAAGGACTTTCCCCGCTGCATCTTCCACCAGCTGCAACAAGCTGGCACAGGGATTAACCCTTTTCTTTCCCTCCCCCCCCCAGTAACTGGATAAGACCGAGTTCTGGAGGTACAACACTGACAATGCTTTATTAATACACACAGCTTTTATGCACAGACCTCGGCAGGGGGTCTCCATCCTGTTCCATACAATCCCAGGCTGGAGGCTGATGGTTTACAGATAACCATCTTCCACTCTGGGAGATACCAGCTGCACAACAATTACAAACAGTAAAACACATTACATACACTTAGAGGCTCCGCGCCCCAGAAAGGGAATAGGGTACACACATGAAACATATATCCATGGATAGCCCCGGGTCCCAGCTAGGACCCCTGCAAATAGCGGGGTTATCGGATGTACAGAGCCCGAGAAACCATCATACGAAGTCTGGGCTCTGTACATCCCCGAAAATAGATCCAAAGTGTTGCTTGGTTTAGTTTAATTCAAACTTCGCGTCTAAACCAATCAGCTGAAAGGTGCGAAACCAATTCGCCACCCTATCAGGAGAAAGGCCGCGAAACCCATGTGCACCAATCGGCGCTCGGGGAGGAGAGGGGTCTTGCTGCCTAATCGGGAAAAAGGGCGCAAAACCCTGTTTAAATGGGCGCTCCTTATCTGATTGGTCGCCTGCTCCCTGCAGCGACCAATCAGCGCTCACTCGTGCCAGCGCATCAGAAGAATGGCGTACACCCAGTTTGAATGGGAGCTCCCTCTCCTGATTGGTCTGCACAGACATCCATGAGGCCAGCGGGACTCTGCGGCTGTGATGATGACTCACAGCTCCAGGGTCTCCACTGGGGATCGCACATCTCTCCTGTGGCTGCCTCAACTTAGGCAGCACTGGGGAGAGCGCTCCTTGGGCAGCTACGAGCCTGGCCTCGTAGCTTTCGGGAGTGTAAGGCAGTGGATATAGCTCCATTGGGAGCAGGTAGGGCAATCCCCGACACGGACCTGAAACAGTGTGAGCAGGCCAGTTCGGGATACGAATGCTTCCCCTAGTTGGTGTTCGGCTATGTGAACCGGCGGCCACCCAGGGGAGCATTCGTTAATGATTTCCCTTGTATTTTCAGAATGTTCTAATGAGCGTTTTAAATGGGAAATCATGGTGGTCCCCGTTCGGGAGACGAACAGGTTCTGTTCGTATGAGCTCTCCCGAACGGGGAACAGGCAAGATACATGGGGAAACACAGAATACAAGGGGAAAAACACGAATAAGCAGTAGGCATGGTACTTAGTGATGGTGGTCCATCACAAGGGCACTTACTAAACTGTCCGTTGTGATGAATTGGCAGCTGAACTGCTTAATTAAGGATAAAATGGGAGACGCCTGAGCTATGATTGCTATTGTTATTGTCAGCTATTTTCCCTGTATTTTGCATTTCTCTGCAATTCGCTATTTAGTGATTAAACCTTTATTACTCATGGTGACTGATTATCGGGAATGTTTTTATATCACATTGACAGTAAAACGCTCAGCATAAGGGCAGGTTATAACCCCCCTCCCTCCATTTTGTGATATTCTGCATTCATTCATTATTATTATCATTATCATCATTATTTTTATATACATTTGTTGCCACAGAACAGCACAGCGGACACCGATCTGACCTATAGCATCACAGAGGGCGAGGAGGCCCAGCGCACTGAGCTTGGGACGGCCATAAACCTCCTCTGTAGTGACGTCCCAATTTACTGGGCCACCCCGGTAAGTGGATCATATTTTTATTTTTTTATTTGCATGGTAACAATAAATATGTGACATCCAACAATATTTCTCCTGCGTGGCTGAGACACAAGGAAACAGGCCAAACGTGGGGATTTATTTCAGTGAGCATTAACTGCATCGACTTCAACTAAGATTATTTATCAACTTACCTATGAAGTACTGGTACAGTGTTAGGTAGGTGCTCTTTGCCCATGAAGTACCATACAGTGTTAGGTAGGGGCCATTTGCCTATGAAATACTGGTACAGTGTAAGGTAGGTGCCTTTTGACCATGAAGTGCCAGTACAGTGTTAGGTAGGTACCCTTTGTCCATGAAGTACCGGTACAGTGTTAGGTAGGTGCTCTTTGCCCATGAAGTACCATACAGTGTTAGGTAGGTACCCTTTGCCGATGAAATACCATACAGTGTTAGGTATGTGTCCTTACAGATTGTATTCCCAACGAGACCCAGCTTGTAGAGTGATGGTTATGCTTTCACATGTTCTGCACTGTGTACACTAATTACAAGGTGTGGTACGTGACACCCTTGGAGACGATAATAATTAATTTCTTGTATTCTTCCTTTTACAGAGCCAGTCGAGCCATCTTCGCTGGATACTAACAATTAATTTCAATATCTTTGGCTTTGAAGTGTCTGTGAAATTTGAATCTTGAAGCAATCACCGTCTAATCAAACTCCGAAAGAGTCAGCCTTACCCATGGGGACGGGCGTGTGAGGACAGTGCCTTTAAAATGACTAAATCCATGTGTCACCTCCAAGATGTTGCTATAATTTGTCTTCTTCAGAGAGACCTGTCACCTGGGTGATCTGTGACGTCTCCAACCTGCTCTCGTACATGGTGTGACCTTTGTTTAGCCTTACACAATAGGCAGCTGCCTATAGACCACCGACGCGTCAAGTAAACAGTAATGATCTTCCATCACACGTGGATTCACACCAGTGAAATTTATTTTATCTAGGGATCTTTGCGGCCATGAAACTGTGTATTAAACAAGGACAATCTTCGTGTCTTTCTCTTATAAGCTGTTTCTGTTGTTTGTCTTCTGTGCAATGAGTCAGTGTGGATTAAAGATGGATTTTTCCTCCATGAAACCAGAAAGGGGACTGCGAGGGAGATGAGAGCTGGGCGTAGTTTTGCTGAATAATTACAGACGTACTTTAAACCCAAATATCCCGTAATCAGTGTGCGATTTCCTGAATAATAATCCAAAACATAAAAGAAAATGAATTTACACGTGAGGATTCACAGTTATAAAATATCAGTAATTTGCATCTAAAGCTCTTCACAGTTCCCTGCCGCACGTAGTCCTGTTTTATATGTGTTTGTTTTTAATTACATTAATTTAAGTTAGCATGTTTAATGAGGCATTAAATTAAAACAAATAAAAAAATATTATAGGAATATAGCATTCAAAATTGAGAAAAATAAAAACGGTAAAAAAACCAAATATAAATTGAATCAATAAGTGTGAATTTGTGGGTTTTTTTTTCATAAAGTGCAGAGTATTACTAAGTCATAATATTGCAAGTCAGGGTAGCCACAGAGACTGCGCACTGCGGTGACAATTGTGACAAATACCGACGTCACCAACAGAAGTATGAGCTCTGAACTTTCCAAAGTGTCACGGCCGGACGAGCCTGCCTTGCTAGGGATGAGTAATTGACCTAACCTACCCTTCGTTAGAATCTTCCACTTACCTGCTGGACATGAAATTTACACAATATTTGTTAAAAACTTGCTTCCACAATGATGTGTCAGTAGCGTGGTTTGTACCATAGTGCCAGTAACAAGTGATTCCTGACAAAACGGTTCACAGCTATCGAGAATGTCTGACACCAAACCTCACATCAAAGATTGAATTTATTGATTGAAAATTATAAACATTTTGTGCGTTACTGCTTAAGAGATAGTCCATAAACATGATAAATTCAAGGAAACTAAATTGAAGTTGTTAAATATGCTAAAGGGTTAATTTGCTAAACTGTGAGTTTGGAAGAATTTTTATTGGAACAGAACATTCTAGACAAGTTAAAATAGTTCTCAAACTTAGCTGGTTTTCCAGATCTATTATATTGTCCTAAAATAAGCATTTTCACATAATTTCTCCTAATTTCCTGGTTAAGTGAATAATTAAAGAAACGTCCTAATCTGTTGAATAAACTGGTAATTTTATCACTGGCAATATCTGTACATCCTACAATAAGAATACACATTGCTGAATTCATGGAGTCTAAACATACTATGGGGGTAAATACAATTTCTGGGTAATAAAAAGACAGCATTGAACTAAAATGCAAAAATAGGTCAAGTTGCAAAATTATTTCCTTTTGTTTCTTTTTATTAGTGTAAGCCTAAGTGTAGTGTAGTGCAGGCTAAGCCTACAAATCCTGACCACTGGCTGTATCTACCGACCCCCACCAATGGTTATGTCTACTGACCCTGACCACTGGCTACCTCTACCAATCCCAACCACTGGCTAATTTTACTGTTTCCGACCACTGGCTATGCCTACTGATCCTAACAAATGGTTACGTCTACTGAACCCGACCAATGGCTACATTTACCGATCTCAACCACTGGTTTCCATCTACTGATCACGACCACAGGCTACGTTAACCAATCTTGACCACTGGTTTCCATCTATTGATCCCGACCACTGGATATGTCTACTTGACCACTGGCTATGCCTACTGACTGACAAATGGTTATGTCTGCTGAACCTGACCACTGGCTATGTTTACAGATCTTGACCACTGGTTTCCATCTACTGATCCCGACCACTGGCTATGTCTACTGATCCCGACCACTGGCTATGTCTACTGATCCAGACCACAGTCTATGTCTATGAGACCACTGGTTATGTCTACAGATCCTGCCCACTAGCTACATCTACCAATCCGAAAAACAGTGTTAGTGATAGGAAGCAGTATGAGGTAGGTGTAAGTGGAGCAATGTGAGTGTGAGTGAATGGGAGCAGTGTTAGTGGAGCAGTTTTGGTTGATATGCAGTGTTAACGTACCGTCACATATACCGGCTTATTCACTTAAGTGAGAAGTAAAGGAATTCAAAGTTGTAAAGCCAAAAAAGGCGAACTGGAAAAATTCACATTGACTTCCCGACAATTCTCACTTTAGTGAATAATACTGATAGAGTGTGAATCTTACGAGTGACGGTATCCTGTGAGTGAGTATAACAGTGAGTGATGGTATAGTAGGAGTGAGTATAACAGTGAGTGACGGTATAGTAGGAGTGAGTATACCAGTGAGTGATGGTATAGTAGGAGTGAATATACCAGTGAGTGACGGTATAGTAGGAGTGAATATAACAGTGAGTGATGGTATAGTAGGAGTGAGTATAACAGTGAGTGACGGTATCCTGTGAGTGAGTATAACAGTGAGTGACGGTATAGTAGGAGTGAGTATAACAGTGAGTGACGGTATAGTAGGAGTGAGTATAACAGTGAGTGACGGTATAGTAGGAGTGAGTATAACAGTGAGTGATGGTATAGTAGGAGTGAGTATAACTGTGAGTGACGGTATAGTACGAGTGAGTATAACAGTGAGTGATGGTATAGTAGGAGTGAGTATAACTGTGAGTGACGGTATAGTACGAGTGAGTATAACTGTGAGTGACGGTATAGTACGAGTGAGTATAACAGTGAGTGACGGTATAGTAGGAGTGAGTATAACAGTGAGTGACGGTATAGTAGGAGTGAGTATAACAGTGAGTGACGGTATCCTGTGAGTGAGTATAAAAGTGAGTGATGGTATAGTAGGAGTGAGTATACCAGTGAGTGACGGTATAGTAGGAGTGAGTATAACAGTGAGTGATGGTATAGTAGGAGTGAGTATAACAGTAAGTGACGGTATAGTAGGAGTAAGTATAACAGTGAGTGACGGTATAGTAGGAGTGAGTATAACAGTGAGTGACGGTATAGTAGGAGTGAGTATAACAGTAAGTGACGGTATAGTAGGAGTAAGTATAACAGTGAGTGACGGTATAGTAGGAGTGAGTATAACAGTGAGTGACGGTATAGTAGGAGTCAGTATAACTGTGAGTGACGGCATAGAGCCAGTATAATAGTGAGTGACCTGCATAGTAGGAGTGAGTATAACAGTGAGTATAGTAGGAGTGAGTATAACAGTGAGTGACGGTATACTGGGAGTGAGTATAACAGTGAGTGACGGTATAGTAGGACTGAGTATAACAGTGAGTGACGGTATCCTGGGAGTGAGTATAACAGTGAGTGATGGTATAGTAGGAGTGAGTATAACAGTGAGTGATGGTATAGTAGGAGTAAGTATAACAGTGAGTGACGGTATAGTAGGAGTCAGTATAACAGTGAGTGACGGTATACTGGGAGTGAGTATAACAGTGAGTGACGGTATAGTAGGAGTGAGTATAACAGTGAGTGACAGTATTGTAGGAGTGAGTATAACAGTGAGTGACGGTATACTGGGAGTGAGTATAACAGTGAGTGATAGTATAGTAGGAGTGAGTATAACAGTCAGTGATGGTATAGTAGGAGTGAGTATAACTGTGACGGTATAGTAGGAGTGAGTATAACAGTGAGTGACGGTATAGTAGGAGTGAGTATAACAGTGAGTGACGGTATAGTAGGAGTGAGTATAACTGTGAGTGACGGTATAGTACGAGTGAGTATAACAGTGAGTGATAGTATAGTAGGAGTGAGTATAACAGTCAGTGATGGTATAGTAGGAGTGAGTATAACTGTGACGGTATAGTAGGAGTGAGTATAACAGTGAGTGACGGTATAGAAGGAGTGAGTATAACAGTGAGTGACGGTATAGTAGGAGTGAGTATAACTGTGAGTGACGGTATAGTACGAGTGAGTATAACAGTGAGTGATGGTATAGAAGGAGTGAGTATAACAGTGAGTGACGGTATAGTAGGAGTGAGTATAACAGTGAGTGACGGTATAGTAGGAGTGAGTATAACAGTGACTGATAGTATAGTAGGAGTGAGTATAACTGTGAGTGACGGTATAGTACGAGTGAGTATAACAGTGAGTGATGGTATAGAAGGAGTGAGTATAACAGTGAGTGACGGTATAGTAGGAGTGAGTATAACAGTGAGGGACGGTATAGTAGGAGTGAGTATAACAGTGAGGGACGGTATTGTAGGAGTGAGTATAAACGTGAGTGACTGTATAGTAGGAGTGAGTATAACAGTGAGTGACTGTATAGTAGGAGTGAGTATAACAGTGAGGGACACACTGTGAGTGTCTGTTAAGTCAGTAGTGAGTCATACAGTTTGTGTATTAGCCACTAGATGGTAGCAGAGCATCACATCCAGCCCGTGCGAGCTTTGATGACGTTTGTCCCATCCCTGGATCCGTACAGAGTGTGAGCTGCAGCCAGACCTGGAGTTACTGACACAGAGCTGGGAACCAACCAGGTAACACAACTACACAATAACACACAGATACACAATCACACAACTACACACTGACACTGATCTGGGAACCAGGTAACACAACTACACAATACCACACAGCTACACAATCACACAACTACACACTGACACTGAGCTGGGAACCAGGTAACACAACTACACAATACCACACAGCTACACAATCACACACAGATACACAATCACACAACTACACACTGAGCTGGGAACCAGGTAACACAACTACACAATAACACAGCTACACAATGACACAACTACACACTGACACTGAGCTGGGAACCAGGTAACACAACTACACAATCACACAGCTACACAATCACACAACTCTACACTGACACTGAGCTGGGAACCAGGTAACACAACTACACAATCACACAGCTACACAATCACACAACTCTACACTGACACTGAGCTGGGAACCAGGTAACACAACTACATAATAACACACAGCTACACAATTACACAACTACACACTGACACTGAGAACCAGGTAACAACTACACAATACTGCGACACTGAACTGAGAAGTAACAAAAATACACACTGTGATACTATACTGAGTGCGGTAACACAATGACACAACTCAACAACACACAGTGACACTATACTAAGAGTGGCAACACAATGATATAATGCAACAGCATGTAGTGACACTCTACTGAGACAGGTAACACAAGACAGAGAGGTAAAAAAAAAGACGCAGCACAACAACAACTCACAGTGACATTATACTGAGAGAGCTAACACAATGACAACACACAGTGAGACATTACTGGATACAGACACGCAGACCTGTACCTAATAAACGTACACTAACTCTGTGCACCTGGAATACCACTTACACATATGTACACATTGTACCCAGTGTAGTTCACACCTACGCACACGGCACCGAAGCACAGCATACACACAAACATACAGTGTGCACTGGATACAAACTAACACAGACTGCACCCAGTGCACCGGCTACACACTAACACACACTACACCCAGTGCACCGGATACACACTAACAACACACACTGCACCAAGT